AAAAAAAAAAAAAAAAAAGAGAATGCATAAGCCTTGAAATTGTCTGTGGATACTAAGTGCACGGCAAGCAGTTCATGTTAACCTGGGAATTGCATTTCCCGAGAAGGAGAAAGCCAGCGTTTACCAAGCACCTACCACAGGAAAGGTGCTTCACCTGCGGCGTCTCCTTTAATCCTCATTTAATCTCCTGCAACGTGGACATTAGGAGCAGTTTGCAAGATGGGCATTGTGAGCACCTGGAATGCTCACAGAGGTGGCGTGACTTGCCCAGGGTCTCACAGTTACTAATCAAAACACGCAAGTTGTCTTACTCCAAAGCTGGGACTCTCTCCCACACTTGCCTGTTGGCTGGGAAGTTTATCTATTTCAGCATGGAGGGTTTACCGCTTTCAGTTGTTACAACAAATAGCAACATTAGGATTGAGGGGGGGCACGTGGGTGAATGGGTAAAGGTGTGTAGAAATTTTTGTAAAGGCTGTAGAAAATTCAAGAAGGAATCACATCCTCATGCAGAGCTCAGCCTGGACTTGCAGACTAGGAAAATGTGCGACTCAGGGACACAGGGCTACAAACCAAGAGCCAGGTGCATCCCTTGACGCACACAGCATTTGAACTATTTTTTGTTAATTTCGAATTACTTGCCAAACCGTAAATATCAGCAGAGTCCCTTTAAACACCTAGACTTCGGGATTTCTCTTGAAAAATCAGGCACTTTGGAGACATGAGATCTGCATTCTTCTGTGGTGACAAGAAGCTGGAACTAAATCCTGGGAGATGGAGGAGCAATAACTGCATTTGCTGAACTCATTGTCTGTACATTTGCTCCATTTCTTAAGGTGTAATTTACATAGAATAAAATGCATAAATCCTAACTGTTCAGTTCCATGGGTTTTAACAATTGCAGACACCCATGTAATTGCCACCCAATCCAGGATGATAGAAATTTCCATCACCTTCCTGTCTTCATCCTCTGACTTTGATAACCACAAATTCTTCTTTCCTGTTCTTGAACCGCATATAAATGGAATCATAGGGTTTGTACGCTTTTAGCATTGGCTTCTTTTGCTCAGCATCCTGTTTCTTAGATGCACCCATGCTGTGGCACGTGTCACTAGTCTTGTTCCTTTCCGGTGGCAGTTTTCCCTGGTGTGTGAATGCACTGTGGTTTGTTTACCCATTCAGCTGTTGCTAGACACTTGGGTTGTTTCACTTTAGGACAGTTATGAGTAACGTTTCAACGAACATGTGTGCACAAATCTTTCAGGAACGTATGTTTTCATTTCTCTTGGTAAGTACCTAAAAGTAGAATTTCTGGGTCATGGGGGAGGTATATGTTAACTTTATAAGAAACCTCCAGATAGTTCTCCAAAGGGCTTATAACATCATTCTCTCCTATTCTTTATAGCACCAAGAGTGAAAACTGGAAAGTTTAGCAGTCAGAGAAATTGTGATGGGCCAGTAGCCAAGTGGGCCACATCTGGCCCTCACAGATTAATAATCGTAAGACTCTGAAGAACTTTTCTTGAACAATCAGAAGTTCTGACCTCGTCGGGCCTGTCTTGCCCCAGTTGGAGCTGGGTCGTGGCTGTCCCCGTCTGCTGAAACGCATGCTCTCTGGTCGGCCACAGCCCCGCCTGCCCAGCCTCGTTCACTGATGTGCCTCCTCTTGTAGGCACCTGGAACATGCCCATGGTCCCCCAGATGCGCCCCAGGAAGTCAGGACTGGACCCCAGCCTGGTGAATGCACCTTCCATGACACCCCACTGCCTTTCCCCGTGCTGTGGCTTCTGGCTGCAGATCACAGGTCCCCGGCCTGTCTATCCCCTCCTCCAATGCCAGATGTTCTTTTTGTAAATCTGTCCCCCAGGACAGGTCCCTACCCTGCAGGCCCCATTTATGCTGGTGTCATTCCAATCACCAGGTCGCCCTCTGTCCAGCCGGACGCATCTCTAAGCCACCCCTGCTGCTCCTGCGGCGCTCCGGAACCAAACGACTGCATCAAGTCCTGGCTCTGCCACTTATTTGGGCCAGTTACGCACTTTCTCCACCTCTGTTTCCACATCAGTACGCTGGAGGTAATATTGGGACCTGTCTTAGAGGGTTATGGGGAGGCTATGGGGCCTCAGATTGTTCTAGAAAGGAAGGTAATCCAGAATTGTGTTTCAAGCCCTTCAGTTTGCAAACACTAGTCATTATTTCTAAAAGTTTTTGGATGCTCTGAGCATCTAGTGAAAGCCTGCACTGTGTCCCCTGGCTTTCCTGGTGTCCTGGGCCCATGCCCTGGCCATGGTGTGGCCACTCCTGAGAGTTTTTCAGGGCTCCAGATGCCTCAGCGTTGCCCTGCCCTGGTCCGCAGAGTGCGTGGAGCGGGGGTTGCCAAGCAGTGGTCACTGTTACTGCCACCGCCGTCTCCGTGGTGAGGGCTGTGACTGCAAGTTCCTCCTGGCACTTCGCCTTTATCCCGCATCCCTCGCCAACATCTCTCCTCCCCCTGCCTCCAGCTCGTCCCAAGCCCGCCTGTCCCCAGCGTGGAGGCGGGACCGGGTAAGAGTGGGTGAGTGAAGCAGGATGGTGCCCTGGGCTCAAGCGTCTCCCCCACCCCTCCCCTCCATGGGCTCCCCCCAGGTGAGGTCAGAGCGCAGGGCACGACACCTTCCCCTCAGGGGCCTGCTCAGGGTTCAAGGGGCCGGGGCTGGGCCTCTCCTCTGCCCCTGGGGAGATCATTCACGCTTCCTTTCCTCCCTGCTGCAGCAGAGGCTGGAGTTTGGAGTTTGACCTGCTCGGAGGCCCTCTCAGCAGTGGGCATATAGGACGGAGAGTCACCGCTGTCCTCTGAAGCGCGTGGCTGCAGAGGGAGAGGAGTCCCCTTCTCACGGCCATCTCTGCCTCCTCCTGCCTCAGAAGCCACCAGCAGCCCCCGGGGCAGGTGAGCCCTGTGTCTAGAATAAGGTAAGACACTCCCCTTTGCCGCAACAGATATCCCCTCTCCAAACTGGGAAGCCGGTCTGGGGACAGGGAGCCAGGGCTGGCAGAAGGACTCCACCTGGGGACCACTGGCCAGGTGAGGGGCTTTGAGTCCCTCTCTGCAGGGAAGGTTGTCACGTCTCAGGCAGACGGAGTATGTTTTGGGGGGAGGGACGGCAGCATGAAGCCGGCAGCCAGCAGCACTGGGCACAGGTCCAGCTCTTCCACTTAACCAAGTTCAAGGGCACTGAGCCAATCGTTTTGTCTCAGGGAGCCTCGGGTTCCTTCTCTGTCAAATGGAAATACAGACCTCAGCCTGGCCCAGCCCACAGGTGAGTGTAAGGACCCGAAGAGATAAGGAAGGTAAATATATCTACATAAACAACAAAAAGCTAGAGGGCTGTATTGCAGCAACTACAACTGCTATTACCTACAAGGCAAATGCAAGTTTTCACTGGTACTTGTTGGGCACTTGCAGAAAGCTTTACATCCGGACCTCATGTCAGGGACACAGTAACCCTGTCAGGTGGGGGCAGCCACCTCTAATTCACAGACAGAGCCAGTGAGCAACTTGCCCAAGGCCACACACGCAGTGAGTGACAGAGCTGAGATTCAGCCTCTGTGGCCATGAGCTCATCCACAGTATCAGTGGTTTTCAAATGGTGTCTGCTGAATGGTTCCAGGAATGGTTGATAGTGGGGTCTCCCCCAGGGACAGCCTGTGGATCTCACTTTGAAAAATGCTGCCCCTTTTCAGGAGGTCACAGTGTTCAAGACTCTAAAAACCCCACATTTGCTTATTCTACCAACGTGTATTGAGTTCCCGCTTGGGGGGGTGCAGTGTGAGTGAGACGGACAGGGTCTCTGCCTTTGTGGGGCTTACAGCGCAGTGGAGACACGTGGCAATGAGGAAACCATGCGAATCAAATGTCGTGCTTGATTAAACTCAGGTGACAAGTCATGTTTGCTATGAGAGCAAATAACTCCTGGACCCAGTTTTTAAGAAATTATGATGGGTACATAATAGTTGTGTATCTTTGCAGGGTACATGTGATGTTTGATACAGGCATGCAATGTGAATTCATCAAATGAGGGTGATTGGGGTGTCCAGCACCTCAGGCTTTTATCATTTCTTTGTGTTAGGAGCATTCCAATTCCACTCTTCTAGTTATTTTACAGTAAACCCTAACTTATTGTTGATTATAGTCACTTTGTTGTGCTAGCAAATATTGTTCATTCTATCTAACTAGCTAACTATGTTTTTGCACCATTAACCATCCTCACTTTATTCCTGCCCCCCTCCCTGCTACCCTTCCCAGCCTCTGGTAACCATCATTCTACTCTCTGTCTCCATGAGATCAATTGTTTCTAATATTTAGCTCTCAAGGACCCAAGTTAGATGGAGGCCAAGAGAGGGCTGCTGGGGGAGTGTACCATAGGCTGCCCCCCGAAGGACGAATAGGAGTTTGTTAAGCCTCGGGCAGAGCATCCCAGGCAGAGGGAACTGAATGGCAGAGAGGCTGGGGCCAGAAATAGTGTCCAAGGAATAACAAGAAGGCCAGTGTGCCGTGGGTCTGAGGGGCAGACAGAGCATCTCAGGGGGTGCTGAGATCTCCTGCACAGGAAAATGATCTGATCTGATTCCTGCTCCAAGATCTCTCTGGCTTCTGGGAGGGATGCATCAAAAGGAAGCAAGCATGGCCTCGGGGCAGCAAGACGGAGGTCTTGCTCTAACCTAGACAGCAGTGACGGTGGCTGAGACGAGGGGAATAGAAGTAAAGGTGAGGGAAAATGGGCAGATTCAAGTTATTTTTGAAGTAGAAGAGAACAGAATGAGGGTGAATAGATTTGGGGAGTTGAGAAAGAGATGCTATACATTCTTTGCTGGTACGTTTGCACGCCAGACATCCGTGGTGCTTAGACGCGGTGCCTGGCACGTAGAGATGTTCACAGACCACTTGCTGAATGAATGACGAATGAATGAATGAATGAATGAATGACTTAAGGATGAGTCTCGGGTTCTTGGCATGAGCAGCAGGGTGGAGAAAGTTGCCATTTAGTGAGATGGAGAAGACTGGAAGGAGCGTGCGTGCTGCTGAAGCGCTTGGTCTCTAACTTGCAGTGTTAACTCTGAGGTGTCTACTGGGCACACGAGAGATGCCACTTTGGCATCTGGATGGAGAAGTCTGGACTCAGTGGTGCTCTTGGTGACTTGTGTTCTCTCTAGCAATCTGAGACAAGGTCTCCCTGAAGGGGCGAGGTAGGTGGAGGAGAATGTCACCCGGGTCCCCTGCACTCTCTGGGCATATCTGTTCCCCTGCAGTGGACCACACAGGGAGAGATGCCCTGCCCCGTCACGCCTAGAATTTCTTTCCAAATCGCCGGAGCTCTTCCTAACTGACTAGGGATGATCCCGGCCTCTGCTTCAGCCCGAAGTCCTATAATCTGTCCCTTGGCTTTTTTCTAGAGACCTGTTTCTAATGAACCCCGTGGCATCAGCTGGTCGGGGAGGCCAGAGATGGTTGTTCAGCTCCTTCCTTCTGCAGTTCTAAGCAGAAGTTCTAGCTCGTGGCAGTTGGATGGGCAGTGACCTCCACTGCAGGTGGCCACAAAGGCGTGGTAGCAAAAGGTTTGCTATCAAACATTGTTCGTTCTATCTAACTAGCTAACTGGCTGCCGGCCTGGGAGGTATAGCCCATGCTGGTCTTTATTATCACATCTGGAATTTTCCCCACCAAGGTCCACATGTCTCCAAGTGGTTAGAAGCTTGAGATTAAACCTGAGCAGGAGCCCTGGTTCAGTCATTTACCAGGGGTGTGGCCTTGGACCTGGCCTCAGCCTTGTTTTTCCTCACCTTCTCAATGGGGTTAATCAGAGACCTGACCTCTTAGGGGTACTGCGTGTTCAAACTGCGATTCCTGCACGTAAGTGGCCAAGGTCTGCCTGATCACAAAGTTCATGCTCTTTTTTGAAAAAATGGTTTTAAAAGAAGGATGGGGACAGAACAAGTATTCTGTATATAATCACGTTACGTATAGGATGAACTTGCTTATTGCTTTTAACAAACCCATGACATACATCTGAGTATCATGCCCATTTTGTAGAAGGGAAACTGAACCTCAGGGAGGTGATTTGCCAAGATCATGAAGCTATAGGAGGCAGAGCTGGGATCTGAGCCTGGGTGGGGCAGTGCTAAAGACTTTATCATGACACAGTGATTTCCTGGAGCGTCTGCTGCTCATAGCTAATAGCTGTAATTAGATGGTCATTGTCATCTTTGGTCAGTGCAGGGAACTTCCCTTGTTTCTCTCTCTCTCTCCTCTCTCTCTCTCATTCTCTCCTCCCATTCCCTCCACCCCTTCTAACATGTTTGATATTTGTTGGCAAATACGCCTGCATCCTGGCAAAATACTTAATACTATTTTGTGTCTTTGAGTGTTTCTAATATACAGAGATAGCTTTATGCTGTAAATCTTGTTCTGTTTATTTCTCCCTTTTTGCTTTCATTGTGAAACGTCTTAGATGCACAAAACTTATAAAGAATAATGTTCCCCTCGGCAATGGGTGCACACCTAGCAGCCAGCCCAAGGCATGAATGCAGCAAATACGATCAAGCCCCCCCTTACTTGTGGCCTGTGTCCTGAGAACCTGTTTCCTGATCTTTTCCTTGCACGGCGGTGTGGAAAATTTTCACATCTGCTGGGGCGTGGAAAATTTTCCCATCTACCATAGCAAATTATGTCAGCGGCCAAAAGGAAGGGGTGAGAGAAGTCCCTGCTTAACTGAGCTTCCTTTTGTGCTTTGGCCAATGAGCAACCTCAAGGGTAGCTGTTCTACTTGCCAACAAAGGCTTTGTTATAACACAGGCTGCTGTGAACCCTCCCTTTGCACACAGGGAGGGTCTCTCACAAGAGGTGAAGCAGGAGCCCACCCCCAGCTCGTCCCTCCTAAGCAGGCTGGGCACAAAGATTCACGGTGCAAGGGGCAAAGCGTGCTTGGGGTCATGTCACCGAGTGGTCCTGGGTGCGCCCAGTGCTGCAAGGGGCTGGGATGAAAACCTGTGAGGATGGGGCCAGGTCTGCCTTTCTCATGCCTTTAGTCTTTGTACTGAGCACAGAACTTGGCACACAGCTGGTGCCTAGTAAATGTTTGTTCCACTGAGTCCCCAGGACCTAGCACAGGGCCTGGTACACAGTTGGTGCCTAATAAATGTCTTTGGAAAAGAAACAGAGACACAGGGAGGGAAGGAGAAAACGAAGAAGAGAAGGGCAGGAGGAAAGGAGGGCAGATCAGCCAATATGGGATAACACCATGAGCTCGGGCTCAGGCCCTGCGTTCGAATCCCACCTCTAGCACTGACTGTGCCCTAGATGTGAGTGGCACAGCTGGGGCCTGAGCTGGGCTGGCTTTCAGCTCTTCTTGCCTCCTTTTGCCACCTGTGAAGTGGAGGTGTAATAGTGATTGCCTCACAGGATGAAATAAGAGGACCCGTGTTAAGTGAGCTCCACGCCCGGCACTTAAATCGAAAGCGTGGTCCCCACACGTTAGGAAGACCGCTGTTACACCTGAAGCATGGATTTGTCGCAGAAGGGGCGCATCGAGGGCTCAGCCTGGGAGCCTGTGGCCCAGGCGGCAGCGCCCGGGGTCTGCAGGGCCCCACCACCCTGAGACTCAGGAAGAGCTTGGAATCGGTGCCAGCCTCCGGGCGGGCCCCACGGCGGTGATGAATAACTTGTTTATCTGCTCGAGCTGCTCCCACCGCTCGCGGTGCCTGGCAGGCAGCGGGCTGGAAGGGGCGGGCTGGGGGCGGGGAGGGCTCCCCAGGCGGCCGCCGCCCCTCCTCCCTCCGCCTCCGCCCCGCCCCCAATTCCTTGTCAATCTCCACCTTCACCTGCCTCCGGTGCGCCTGGTCCTCGTCTTCCCCAGTGTCCCCTGTTTTGGAAGCAGCAGGTTGGACTGTTTGCAAACGCAGGCTCTGAAACCAGACATGCTGGATGCGAGTCCTGGCTTTGTCACTCATCAGCCGTGTGGCTTTGCACACGACGCTAAGCCTCTCCCAGCCACGGCTTTCTCACCTGTAAAGTGCAATGAGAACATTTCCTGCCTAATGGGGGCTCACCCTTGAGCCAGCCGGTCATGGCTCCTGGCCACCTCCTCCCCCAGCCTCCAAAGTCTGCCTTTCCTGGTTGGAACTCAAAGGGGTCTCCACTCCAGGGCTCCTTCCCACTTTCACACGCGGAGACCTGAGGTCTCCAGTTCAGCTAGATTTGTCCTGAGCAGCTAATAGCCTTATCATCCCATCCTACAGATGACAGTGATCATAAAACCAAGACCTGACCGAGGCTCAAAGATGTAAGAGGTGACCTGGGTTGGAATTTTGGCTCCTGCTACTCACTCTTGCTTTAGAGTAGATAAGAGATCATAGAACTTGGGGTTGCCCGGGACCGGTGAGGCTGTCTGTCATCCCTTCTTCCTTCTTTCTTTGTCTCTTCCTTCCATCTTTCCTCTCATGGAGGTGTGGTTCAGTGGATCACAGATTTCGTGGATCTTCTCTTCCTTGGAGAGGGCCATCATGTCCCAGGTCTAAGAAGCTGTGAGCATCCTCTCAACAGACACAAGAGCAAGGTCCAGCCCTAGACGGAGAAATTCGAAGCTATACTTGGCATGAAAAGGGAACTTACAGATCACTGAGGCACCCTGCGACATCTTCTCCAAGTGAACATCCAGTCTCCTCTTTTATGCCTCTAAGGCAGTGGTTCTCAAGGGAGGTGGTTTTTGGCTGTCGTAACTGGGAGGAGGGTACTCCAGGCATCTAGTGGGTAACTAGTAGGGGTGCTGCTAGACACCCTACCATGCACAGAATGGCCCCCCTGTCCAAAATGTCAATAGCATTGAAGATGAGAAACCCTACTCCAAGGACAAGGAACATCCTGCCCAGACCACAAAGCCATTCTGTCTTTGGGCAGCTCTGATCAGAAGCAGGAAATTATTCCCCAATTCTCCCTCTTCCTCACTTACCCTGTCAACTAATCACCAAGTCCTATCGATTCTAACTCCAAATTATTTCTCAAATCTACTCCCTCCACTATGGTCTGAATGTATTTTCTCTCCACCCCACCCCCAATTCTAATGTTGAAATCTAAATCCCCAATGTAATAGTATTCAGAGGTAGGGCTTTTGGGAGGTGATTAGATCATGGGGGTTCTGCCCCATGTATGGGATTATTGCCCTTATAAAAGAGGTTTGAAGGCACCTGCTTGCCCCTTCTACTATGTAAGGACACAGCAAGAAGGTGTCATCTATGAGGAAGGGTCCCTGACCAAACACCAAATCTTCTGGCACCATGATCTTGGACTTCCCAGCCCCTAGAACTGTAGGCAATAAATTTATATTGTTCACAAATTACCCAGTCTGAGATATTTTGTTTTAGCAGCAGGAATGAATTAAGACATCCTCTTAGCCCTCCTTATATATCATCTTAAGTCTGACTCATTACCTCCAGAATAACCTTCCTTCCCATCTTCTTACTTCTAGCCAAGCCTCCCTCATCTGATCATACCTCTTTCTTTCTTTTTTTTTTTTTTGGAAAGAGAGTCTTGCTCTGTTGCCCAGGCGAGAGTGCCATGGCGTCAGCCTAGCTCACAGCAACCTCAAACTCCTGGGCTCAAGCGATCCTTTTGCCTCAGCCTCCCGGGTAGCTGGGACTACAGGCATGCGCCACTATGCCCGGCTAATTTTTTCTGTATATTTTTAGTTGTCCAGATAATTTATTTCTATTTTTTAGTAGAGACAGGATCTTGCTCTTGCTCAGACTGGTCTCGAACTCCTGACATCAAGCGATCCTCCTGCCTCAGCCTCCCAGAGTGCTAGGATTACAGGCATGAGCCACCGCACGCGACCCATACCACTTTCTTATTAAAAATTCTTCAGTGGCATCCTTTAACCTAGAGCAGAGGTGTGTGATGGAAGTGTTGCTGCATTTCAAGAGATGTTTTAAAATTTATGAGAGCATTTTTGGTTGTCACAATAATTTGGAGTGCTACTGGCATTCAGTGGGTGGAGGCCAGAGATACTAGACATCCTGAAATGTACTGAACTACCCCATACAATAAAGACTTTCAGACGTTCTACCAGACATTTATTTGGGCACAAAACACATTTATCACTACCCAAGTCTAGAACCTACCTCCAGTTTACATAAAACACAAAGTGTTAGGGTTTTATTACTTTAAGAATGTACCTGCTTTTTATGCTCACAGCATTATCTCAGACATTTTTTAGAGGACTCTCTCTTAAATTAAAAACATGGTTTATCATGGCACTTGCTTGGGTTTCTTCATAATGTTTAAAATCACAAAGCAGTTTTGCAAATTTAAAGATTTGGTGTGTATACTAGTTTCTATTCTGGTGTTTCCCTGTAGATTCACTCTTTAATTATCCTGTGCTTGTGGAATGGAATGGCTCGGATTTTCTTATTTCTCTTAAATGGAAAACTTATTCCGTATAACAGGTGAAAGCATAAGATTACCCCTTGGGTCTTCTAGTGGAATCATATAAAAGCATTTACGTGTTGAAGCATTCATTGTTTTATCATAAGTTGATTTCCTTTTATTTCACTTTTATACTATAGTTAGAACACTATACATTTTTTAAAAAATTATGTGTGAGGGTAGGTAACATTAATTATGAATTTCACTTTAGTGTTCAGTAAAAGGGGTGTTACAAAATATGTGTTATAAAAACAGGGGAGGATATCTGACAGGTTGAGGACTACCGACCTTCTAAAATCCTTCAAATGACATCAAAGGGCTGGTAGAATCTGTCTCCTTCCTATCTGACTAGCCTCAGCTCCTGTCCCCTGCCCCCAACCTCACTTAATGCTCATGCAAGAGTCTGGTGGTCCCTTAACCATGACATGTTCCTTCATACCTCAGTGTCTGCATTTGCCTGAAGTCCTTCCCATCCCCCTGTTTATCCACATAGGATCTGTACTCATTCTTCAAAACCTGGCTTGTATGCTACTTTCTGGATTCTTCCATATAAAATTAGGTGGTCCTTCCCTCACTACACCTTGTAGAAAATAGTAGTAATGGTGACAGTAGTAGCAATAGTGGCTACAATGTACTGAGCACCGTCTTTGTGCAAGGCACCATGCTCAACTCTTCATATGTACTAGCTCACAGCAATCCATGAAGCCTGAGCTTTCGTTGTCCCATTTCGTAGAGATGAAGGAACTTGTCCACATTCTCAGTGTTGGCAAATGGCAGATCCAGCTCTATGGCTCCCGAGCTGGAATTCCAAACAGATCTGTCTCTATGCACCTCCCCTCTGTGAAACATCGCATCATGGTGTTATTGACCACTGGCGCATTTGTCCCACCCCTGGGCTGTGCCTCACAGAGGGCAGGGATTGAATCTTTTCATTCCTGAACCCCTAGAGGCTGACACAGGAATAAGTGAGTGCCCTAATCACTTACGGTCAAAAATCGCCCTTGGGAATTTCGTTAGTTTCTGACTGTAACAAGTTACCACAACTTAGTGGCTAAGATGACATAATTTTATCATCTTACAATTCTAGAAGTCAAAAGTTCGAAATGGGTCTTACTGGACTAAAATCAAGGTGTCAGCAGGGCTAAATTCCCTCTGGATGCCCTATGGGAGAATCTGTTAATTTGCCTTTTCCAGCTTCTAGAAGCTGCCCCCATTCCTGGGCTCATGGCCCCATTACCTCATCTTCAAAGCCAGCAACAATTGAGCCAAATCCTTCTCATGCTGTCCTCTCTCTGTTTATCTCTTCTGATTCTGTCTTCCCTTGTGTTTAACATTCCCTAATGTGTGACATTAGGCTGCCCAGTTGATCCAGGCATCTCCCTGTTTTAAGGTCAGCTGACTAGCAACCTTAATTCTATCTGCAAACTTAATTGTCCTTTGCCATGTAACAGCCTATTCATAGGGTCTGGGGATTAGATATAAACATCTTTGAAGGGCCATTACTCTGCCTACCACAGGAATCCCTTAAATTACCCAGGGAAGTGCAGAATATTGAGGATAGTAGTTCAAAGCATGGATTCTTGAGCAAGATTATTTACGTTCAAATCCCAGCTTCACCACTTGAGCTGTATTACCTTGGGCAAGTTACCTAACTTCTCTGTGCCTCAATGTCACCATCTGTAAAATAGGGATGATAACAATGGTACCCATTTTGCAGCTTTGTAAACCCTCAGAATGATGCCTGGCATATAGCAGATGCTATATAGGTGTTTATTAAATACATACAGTTTTATAGGCATATCAAGTATTGAAACAGGATTGTAGTATCTGGCTAAGCCTCAGACAAAATTGTTGGCTTCACCCTCACCAGGCTGTGAGGTGCCTTGGAAATGGGGTTCAGGTGTCCCACTTTCCTCTCACTCGGAAACATGTGCTTACTAGTGGAAGAGGATTCCGAAACCATCTGTCTATTTAAATTGTTTATTATTCTTTATATTTTGCCAAGCAAATGGTTGAATTGGTAAGAATCAACTATGGATTTGATGTGACTTCATTGTTTGTTGAACGAGTGAGTGGATGGATGGATCTGTCTCCACCACACATCTCTCCACATGGGTCCTCTTTCTCAGGTGCCCCAGGGAAGAAGCTACAGAAAGGGGGAGAGGAGTGAAGCTGGCATCTCACACGCATTTTCACTTCCCCAGGATCGAGAGGGCTCGTTCAGGACCATGGAGAGCAGTCCCAGCAGCCCTCGGCCTCCCCAGTCGGATCCCCTGGAGGCGTTTCCCCAGAAGAGCCTGGAGCCAGGTGACATTGCAGTGCTGGTTCTGTACTTCATCTTTGTCCTGGCTGTGGGACTATGGGTAAGCCAGGCCGGGGTGGGGGCGGGGTGTGTGTGTGTCAGGGGATGGGGAGAGAAGGAAATGTCTGGCCAGAGACCCAGGTTAACCCCATCCTTTTGGAGATATGATACTGACTGAAAGAGGAAGATATTGTTAATAGCTCAAGGTCACAGAGTAATCAGAACTTTACAATTTAAAAAGTGCACTGGGCATTGACTATGTGTCAGACACTGTGTTAAGCATTTTCACTTATGTTATCGCATGTCATTTGCACAGGCCCCTGTGAGGAAGATACTATTACTATACTCATTTTACAGATAAGGAAATTAAGGCTCAAAGAATTAAAGGTCCTTATTCTGTTAGTAAGTTGGGGAGCTGGGGTTATAGGCCCTATGTCCCTTATTTTAGAGCTCATGCTCTTTTTTGTTATTTATTTAAAGAAAATTTTTTGAAGGTGATACAGTCACATGTTTCAAAGATAAAAACAACTTATGACATACACTGAAAAGTCCAACTATTACCCTTCCCTTCACAGGTAACCACTATTATTAGCTTGTTAGTACATTAGTGTATTCTCCCAGTTTTTTTATGCAAATCCAAGCAAATATTAATATGTCTATTTTCCTCTTTCTTAAACAGAAGGTACCTTATTATAATACTATTTTTAACTTGTTGATTTTCACTTATGAGTATCTTTCAGATATCTTTTCATATCAGTACATAGAATATTCCTTATCTTCTTAAAAGTCACACAGTATCTTATTAGATGATTGCACTGTAATTTATTTAACCAGTATTCTATTGAGGGTCATTTGAATTGTTTCCCATCTCTTACCAAAACAAAGTATGCCGTAATAAACAAACCTTGTACGCTCATTACTTTGGACTGTAGATGTAACAGCGGATAAATTCCCTGTAGTAGAATTATCAGATAATTATGCCAGTTTGTGTCAAATTTCCCTCCTGAGGTGTACACATCAGTAATGTATGAGAAAATCTGTTTTATCACATCCTCTCCAACAGTGTATTGTGAAACGTTTTCATTTTTGTCAAACTGAAAGGTAAAAATAATATCTCAATGTATTGTTAATACACATTTAGCTTATCCTGAATGAGGCTGGGTACCCTTACATATGTTTAAAGACCACTTATATTTCCTTTATGTGAACTGTGGTTTCATATCTCTTGCCTATTTTTATTAGATTCTTGCTCTTTTTCTTATCAATTTCTAGGAGCTCTTTATATATCAAGGATATTAGTAACTTTGAGATAAGATGGTACAGAGGTGTTGCTGTGTGATTTTCGGGTCACTTGGTACGAGGGGTACTGTACCCACTGAGGTGTACCCACTTTGGTCTGATTATTTATAGATCATTACTCTCACCCCCTAGCTTTCTCTTCTCTGGGCCAAGAAGGGAAGAAAAGGGCTCGACATCCCAAAGACCATGGATCTGACTTTTCTCTGCTTCCCCTACTTTGGTAGGACAGACAGAGATGGATGAGATGTTAAGAATAAGGGCTTTGAGCCAGACAGACTTAGGATCAGGGTTGGGGGTAGAGTTCGAGTTAGGGTGAGGGTTAGAGGCCCTGGGGATCTGAGTTTTCACAAGAGAACCAGGCAACTCTGATGTATCTCTGGTCCAGGAAGCCCTGGATTTAGAAGATCCTCTTCATATTCCTTTCAGCACAAGGAAATTTTTATTCTTAGAAAACAGTCTTCTGTCAGGGTTTAGCAGGAAGGAGCCCCAGAGGCTGTTTTCTATAATTAGATTATTTGCAGGTCTGAAAAGGTACCATTTTGTGCCATCTTCCATCCAGAGTAAGAATTCCCTCAACAAAAGAGAAGTTAACAACTTATCCAAGATCACACAAGCTACTTAGTGGTGAAAATGTCTCTATTAAAACACTTTCAATAACAGAAAGCCCACTCCTTCTAAAGATGGTTTTGTCAACCAGCTAAGAACATGGGCTCCAAAAATCAAGCTGTCCTGGGTTTGAATTCCTAGCCCCTCCACTATTTAGGAATGTGACACTAGGCAAGTGACTTAACTTCTGAGCTGCTATGGCCTGAATGTGTCCCCCAAAATTCATATGTGGAAACTTAATCACCAATGTGATAGTATTAAGAAGTTGGGCTTTTAGGAGGTGATTACGTTATGAGGCCAGAGCCCTTGAAAATGGAATCAAGCCCTTATAATAGAAGCATGAGGGAACTACATAACTCCTTTTTGCCATTTCATTGTTCCGCCATGTGAGGACGTGGAAGAGGTATATTAAATAATACTTTCTATGAGGAACAGTCCCTCACCAACTGGCTGGTAACTTGCTCTTGGACTTCCCAGCCTCCATAACTGTGAGAAATAAATTTCTATTGTTTATAAATCGCCCAGTCTCTGCTATTTTGTTATAGCAGCACCACTGTACTAAGACATGAGCGTCAGTTTCTTCATCTATCAGATTGGCTTAATGAGATCGACTTCATAGGGGTTAGTAAGGATTAAATTAGAGAGTGCTTGTAAAATGCTTGGCATAGTGTCTGGCACATAGCTAACCTCACAGACAAGCCGTGAGTCTAAAACTCAAATGTCTAGGGGGACGAAGTAGGTTATCATGTGTATAGCAGGAGGCTGTGTTAAGAGTTTGTTTCCTCTAAAGACATTCAAATTCAAATTTTCTTAAAAACTATGGATAAAACAAAATATATTTGATATCTGAGTCTAGCCTACTGGACCCCCACTTCGCACCCCCCGGCTTAGGCCATTTTGGGGTGCTCTGATTGCTAACATTTTCCCTCCCCCTCCCCTCTTCTTTGTTTCAGTCCACATTGAAGACCAAAAGAGACACAGTAAAAGGCTATTTCCTGGCTGGAGGGGACATGTTGTGGTGGCCAGTAAGTGGTTTTGGTTCAATTAAAGTCACTTCTTAAAGAATCTTCATTCAAGTGCTGGTATTCTGTCCAGCTTTGCTCTCTCGGGACTCTTTGGTTCCATGTTGTCTGGGAGTGATAGCTTCAACTAGAGAAGACTTCTCTCCAACTCAGATTTGTTTTAAAAAGAGAGAGAGAGAATTCATGAGCTCATCTAAGAGAAAAATCTGGGGTTGGGCTGGTTTCAGGTGTGGCTGAATGTAGAGGCTCAAGTGATATCACTGGGACCCGGTTTCTCCATCTATTTATTCTCTTTCTCCGTCCCCCACCCCGCCCCCACCTATCTATCTATCTACCACCTACTATCACTATCAGCTTCTGTTTTCTGAATGGGCTCTATTCACAAACAGGCTCAACTTGATGGCCACAAGATGGCAGACACTGCTCCAGACCTTTCATCCTCTCAGGTTCCATGGAAAGAGCACCTGCCTCCATGGCACTATTCCTAGAAAACATTTCATCTCTGATTACATTCCATGCCCATCGTGGGCCAATCACTGTGGTCAGGATGCTTTGATATGCTAATTGGCTCAACCTGGCTCATATGCTCAGCACCTGAGCAGGGGAGGCTCCCGAGCATGGAGGCCTATGTGATGAGAAGTGAGAGGGGCTGGAGTCTGAAGGAAAATTGCAGGCAATTACTGGGACAAGGTGGAATTGATGTTGAGGACACAGGTAACAAATACAACAGCCTAAAGAGTATTTTCTTTTCAGGTGGATCTAAGGACATTGCCAAATACACACACATGCACGCGCACACACACACACACATAAACATACACATGGGCCTCTACTTCATGGGTCCTGGGTAGGAGATCAGGGATAATTAATTTTACTTACGAGCTCCTAAAGTCAAAAGTTTGTTCTTAAAAAGATCAACAAAATTGACCAACTTCCAACTAGACTGACCAAGAAAAAAGAAGAAAAGATGCAAATTATTATTAGCTGGGCGTTTTGGCATGTACTCATAGTCCCAGCTACTCTGGAGGCTGAAGCAGGAGGATCACTTGAGCCCAAGAGTTTGAAGTTGCAGTGAGCTATGATCAAAGTGAGAACCTGTCTAAAAAAAAAAAAAAGATGCAAATTATTAAAATTAGGAATGCAAAAGGAGACATTACAACCAATCATTACAGAAATAAAAAGTAATTATGAGGAAATACTATGAACGATTGTATGCCAAAAATAGATAAGCTAGATGAAATGAACTAATTCCTAGAAAGACACAAAGTACCAAAACTAGGTACCAAAGCTATTTTAAAGTAGAAATAGAAAACCCAAATTATACCTGTAAAAAGTAAAGACATTGAATCAGTAACCATAAAACTTCCCACAAAGAAAAGCCAAGAACTAGATGGCTTCACTGGTGAATTCTTCCAAATGTTTATAGAATTAACACCAATATTTTACAAATTTTTCTAAAAAAAAAAATAAACGAAAAAATGAAAACATGCCCTACCTCATTCAATAAGGCCAGTATTACCCTGATACCAAAACCAAAGAGATATCACCAGAAAAAAAACTATGGATAAATAATATTTCTTATGAATATAGACTCAAAAGCTCTCAGCAAACCAAATCTAACAACATACAAAAATGAATTTACACCATGACCAAGTGAGATTTATTCTAAGAATGAAAGTTTGGTTCAATACACAAAAAGGTCAATCAATGTTAATACACCATGCTATAGAATAAAGGGTAAAAACACATAGCATTTCAATGGACGCAGAAAAGGCCTAAAGATCTAAAACTCTTTCATGGTAAAACATTCAGTGAACTAGGAATAGAAAAAAACTTTAATTTGGCAAAGGGCATCTGTGAAAACACCACAGCTGACATACTTAGGGGTGAAAAGTGGAAGACTGAAAGCTTTCCCCTTAGAATCAAGAACAAGACAAGGACGTTCTCTCTCACCACTTGTGTTCAACATTTTGCTAGAGGTTCTAGCCAAGAAAATTAACAAGAAAAGGAAGTAAAACATATCCAGATTGAAAAGGAAGAAACAAAACTATCTCAATTTACATATGATATAATCTTATACACAGAAACTTCTAAATAACCCACAAAATATTGCTAGAAGTTATAAATGAGTTTAGTAAGGTAGCAGGATATAAAATCAATATAAAAATAATTATATTTTCATCTACTAGAAATGAACAATCTGAAAATGAAATTAAGAGAATAATTCCACTCACAATAGCATCAAAAAATAAAATACTTAGGAATAAATTTGACCAAAGTAGTACAAAACTTACACACCAAAAACATTGGAAAAACATAAAGAAGAACTAACTAATTAGAAAGACATCCTGAGTTCTTGGATTCAAAGATTTAATACTGCTAGAGTGGCAAGACTCTCCAAATCAACCTACAGATTCAATGCAATCCCTATCAAAATCTCAGATCTTTTTTTCTTTTTTGCAGAAATTGACACACTGATCTTAAAATTCACATGCAAATAAATGTGAGGGACCCAGAATAGCCAAAACAATCTTTGAAAAAGAAGAGCAAAGTTGAGGGACTCACACTTCCCAATTTCAAAACTTACTACAAAGCTACAGTAATCAAGAGAGTGTGATAAAGGCAGAAAGATAGACATATAGATCAATGGAACAGAATTCAATGAGAACCAGAGACTAGAAAGTCAATAGGAGGCACAACAGCCCTCTAACAGTTCTCTCCTCTTCCTCCTCCCTTCTTCCTCATCCCCATCTCTCCCTCCCCTCCTCCTCGTCCTCTTCTTTTTCTCCTCTCTCTCATTCCCCACCCTCTCTCCTCACTTGATCTGCCTCTCTGTGCCTGTCTCCATTCTCCTGGCTCTCAGCAGAACGGCAGTGATGAGCTCATGGCCAAACACACCTCTGCGCCACTCCTCTGCCCACCCCATCCCACTCCACACACCCTCGTTTACATATATCCCCAGTTCAAGGGACCAGCAGAGACTGTACCCGCTTCCAAATTCCCAGGAAAGAGAATAAAATCACCCAGCTTGGGCCAGGTGCCAGGCCTGTCCAGTCCAATCAACTGAGACCAGGGATTGCAGTCATCGTGTACAGTCTTGGCCACTTAGCGTCCTACCTGAAGGAAGGCTGTCCACTTCGCTAAGTTAGAGGCAGAGCAGGGGAGTAACAGGCTCCCTGATTCTCATCATGAATCACTTTCTGTAATACCTGTCTTCCTTCCCTCCAGGAATGCTGTATACAGTTATTTGAGCTATGCATTGCATAACTCTAGGGGGCGTGATCCGCATTTTAGGCACTGTAGGTATGAATATTTATTATACCAATTTCTGACAGGTGGACTGACCCAGTAAGAGTCTTGGGGAAGGAGAATACTTTTCTAATTTAAACAAAAATGCCAGATAGGCTAGGGATGGCCCCGCCTCCTCACTTCTCCTTCTCTCTTGGTCTATTTGGAACTTGGCAAGAATTAGGGGGTGGGGAGCAGGCACCCCAGACCTTGATCCCCAAATCTGACCTGTCCCTCTCCCTGCAGGTGGGTGCATCCTTGTTTGCCAGCAATGTTGGAAGTGGACACTTTGTTGGCCTGGCAGGGTCAGGTGCTGCCACGGGCATTTCTGTAGCTGCTTATGAGCTTCATGTAAGTATTTTACTCAGAACGTAGATATCTCACCTCCATCTAATAGGTAGATCTTGGGGGAAAATTGTGTGAATGTCCTGCACTTTAAAAATAGGATAGTACTTTTTGAAAAAAACAAAACAAAACAAAACAAACAGGAGGCTTCAAGGGTGCCTCTGGTCAACAAAAATCAGTTTGGTCTGTAAGTCTCAAACCTCCCTGTGTTTTCCTGATGGGGCCCCATAAGGCCACGACCACAATACATAGGGGCATGGAGAAGAGAGGGCTCAGAATCCCTCCTTTGTAGATGCAGAAGAAGGAAGGTATCATGGAACTGGAGGGTATTTCTGTGTATTTTAGACATCAATTGGCCATCACAAAAATCATATGGCTCAGTGATTTTTGACATTTTTGCTACCCCAGAGATACCCAAGAGATAGTGTTAGTGTCCTCTGAGTGGAGGTTTTCCCAGGTTCTTAGTGATCGTTGGGAGAAAAGAATTTCAGGATGCACCACATAAGCCAAGCAAGCAGCTTTTTATTGAAAGACTGAAAGCGAAAGTACACTCTCAAGAGAGAGAGGAGCAGGCTCCAAAAGAGCAGCTGCACCCGGACGATGTGGTTTTGGGTCTTTTGAAGTCTTACTAATTGAGGGGAGGAATATTCAAGACTAAGGGTTTGGCTTTTACTAAGAATTTGGGTAGTAATTTCTAGAATTGGGTTTCCTCCCATTTTCATACTTTATATGGTTGTCTTGGAACTGTCACTGTGATTTCAAGGGTGGAGAAATTTTAAAACCACAATGTAAATGATACTGTAATTAGCTGAAGTTTGTGTAAGGTGGCAGCAATAGCTGACAAGCCTGGTGAAGCTGGTTCTTGCTTGTGGTTATCAGTCCCTCTAGGGACCTTCTGCTGGAGGGTTGTTTACTTTAACACCTGCACCCACTCTGCAAGCCCCAGCTTCCCATCTCAGCCCTGTTTCCTAGTCTCCTACTCTAACAATAGGGCACACTCTCCTTCATAGCAGGGATATGAACTTGAACTCCTGACCTCAAGCAATCCTCCTGCCTTGGCCTCCCAAAGTATTAGGATTACAGGCATAAGCCATGATGCCTGGTCAGCAGGGCCATGAATAATGAGGATATGATTTTTACTGGGGAAGAATGAGGGGGTTGCAATTATTAATAATGACATCCATCTTCATAATGACTAACGTTTTTTAGGTGCTCACTCTAGGCCAGGAAGAGACTTAAGGCTGTTGCATACACTATCATATTATGGGGTTCAATTACAGATTAGAACCAGACTGTCTGGGTTCACAGCCTGGCTGCAACACTTACAAGCTGTGTGACTTTGGGCAAGTTACTTAACCTTTCTGAGCCTCATGTATAGAATAGGGGTATTAATGGCACGTGCCATGTAAAGTTATTGTGAGGATTAAGTGAATTAATGCTTGTAAAGGATGCAGAGGAGTGCCTGGCGTATATTAAGTCCTCAAGAAATATCATGTCACTACTTTCCTTGCAACAACATAGGAAGGCATTGGTATGCCCATTTTACAGGCAAGAAAAATGAGTCTCACAGACCTGTGTTAACTCTCCCAACATCACCAGCTACTCATGAGTGTGGCCAGTCTTTGAGCCCAGGCCTGCCTAACCTCACAGCCTTGTTTTCACCACTTCCAAAGAGGGGAGGAAGCACAACTGGATGAAGGGATGACATGAAGTTTAGGAGACACATAACAAGGAGGCATTGCAAAAAGCTTCTCTTCCCTGCCTAATTCCTTTCTTTGCATTTTAAACACGGAAATATGAAGCCCAGGGAAGGTGAGGCACTCAGTAAGTAGGAGAATAAACCAGAGGTGGAGTTCAGGCCAGGTTTCCTCAGGGTGCAGAAGGAAATCCAAATTGGCACCTTATTGTGAACTGGGAGCCGAGTCCTGATTGTGTTTTCTTGGACAGGGCTTGTTCTCTGTGCTGATGTTGGCCTGGATCTTCCTCCCCATCTACGTCGCTGGTCAGGTGAGTCTGTGGGGAGTCAGGTGCTATGCAACTGGGAGACCCTTTGGGAAGGTCAACCCTGCATTCCCTCCTTTACTCCACCACCCATTCCCCCACCCATGGGCATCCACCAGGCAGGCACTATGGGGTCCCAGCACTGGGAAGGGTTGATGCCTGGATGAGATCACTAAGAAGTCCATCCTTAGCTGTTCCCACTAAGTGACCAACGTCCAAGGTACACAGAGGACATTCAGAGGCCAGAAAAAACATGAACTCAAAAAAAATTTGTAATACCAAAACACAAATGTAAAACTCACAATCTCTTACAAATGTTAATTCCATAACATGTTACTGCTTTTAACTAAAAAAAATTTTATCTATTAATATCTCTGTATATGGTTCAGTGATTTTATTTCTTCCTTTGCACACAAAACTATAATAATTGTGCTATTTCTGACTGGTGTGAAATGTCAACATTTTTGTTACAAAATAATGCTGCTTTAGACTCTTCGAGAAGCAGTTTTAAAAATCATTCACGATCTCATTGACAGCTTTGTGTCACTCACACTCTCTAGATTTAATTCCACTTTAGATGTTCTGCATGGCAAGATCATGTGATATTACAGTGCTGTTGATAAACAAATAACCAATTTTAACTTTTTATTATGGAAATTTAAACATATATACAAACTGGAAAGAGTTTAAGGATCAGAAATCATGTTAGAAATCACTTCGTATCAGCAGTGCAGTCCTGTGTAAAGGGCAGTGATGCAGGCAGACATGACTCCCTTTGGAAATAAGACCCCGAGTCTAAAAGCGAGGCTTTTGGGGGCCTGGGTCTGCTCATGCCCACCTGAGACTCGCTCCTGCATAGACTAAATATTTGGGGTGTAATGACACTGGATTGGGAGAGCAGACCTCTTGGCCAAAGCATCAATAAGTTTTTACCGAATGCCTGCTATGGGGAGGAGTAAGGGAGGGTGGGGATGCAGGTTAGCTCGTAGGTGGGGCTGCCAGATGCTCTCAGCTGATGGTTTCCATCTTCTCTGGCAAGTAGAAGATAATGTCATCTGCTGAGATGAGGAAGAAACTTGTGGGGCTGAAGGTTGAGAAGTGACACAAGGATTTCAGGGGCTGCTGTAGTTGTTTGTAATGACCACAATGCCCATCGGTAGGGGACGGGACAGCCGCACTGAGGAATGTCATGCCATGAAAAGGGATGAAGTCGATAGAAGTGTTCTGATCTCCAGGCTATGTTATTAAATAAAAAAAAAATAACATTCCCCGGATCTAATCATCCTTTGAGCAACATTTTGCAAGTATTCAAAGGACAGATGAAGCCCATACTAAATAAGAAATGCCAGAGCGCTGAGAGACTTTAAAAAGCTACCCAATTCACATTTTTATTGGGAAATAAAATAAACACAGAGAAAAGTGATAAAACACAAAAGCACAGCTTAACAAACTATTGTGAAACGAACACCCACATCAAGACATAAAACGTAATGTCCCCTGCAAGCCTCAGAAGATCACAATGCCTTCCTTTCTCCTTGACTTTCATAGCGAGTGCTCACGTCCTTGCTTTTCTTTATAGTTTTAATTCTGCATCCCTGAACAAAATAGTTGAATTTTACTTTTTGGGGGTGGGGTTGTATATAAATGGAATCAGGGGTAACGTATTCTTTTGTTGCATGTAGCCGGTGTGTTAATATTCATTGCTATGTGGTGTTCTGTAGTATGACTGAGCTGCCGTATTTATCCATTCTGTTGTTCATGGGCATTTAGGTCGTTCCCAGTGTGTGGCTATGATAGATGGTGCCACTATGAGCATTTTTATACATGTGTCCTGATGCATATAAACACGAGCATTGATGGAGAAAATCTACCTACGTGTGGAATTGCCAGGTCATTGGATACATTTATCTTTGGCTTTACGAGATACTGCCAAACTTTCTCCCAGAGTGGGTCTATCAATTTTTGTTCCCACCAGCAGTATATGAAAATTCCCTCTGCTGTAATGTTTCACATCCTTGATGACACTTGCAATTCTCTGACTTTAAAATTCTTGCCTATCTGGTGCACGTGATAGTGATATCTCACTGTGCTTTTTTTTTTGTAAGAGACAGGGTCTTGCTCTGTTGCCCAGGCTGGAGAACTGGAGTACAGTGGCATGATTATGGCTCACTGCAGCCTTGAACTCCTGGACTCAAGTGATCCTCCTTCTTTAGCCTCCCAAGTAGCTGGGACTACAGGCATGTGCCACTACAACTGATTTAAAATATTTTTGTAGAGACAGGATCTCGCTATGTTGCCCAGGCTGATCTTGAACTCCTGGCCTCAAGTGATCCTCCTGCCTTGGCCATCCAAAGTGCTGGGATTATAGGCATTGAGCCACCACACCTAGCCCTCACTGTGCTTTTGATCAGCAATTCTGTTTATATGTTTTCTGGCCATTTGGATTTCCTCTTAGAGGAAGTAACTTGTCTCGGACTTGTGCCCATTTTTCTATTAGGTTATATGTCTTGTTCTTATTGGTTTGTAGTTCTTCATATATTTTAGAAACAATGGGCTCACGTGTGTTGCAAATATCTTCTTTTTTCCTCCTGTATGGCTTGCATTTTTGCTCTCTTTATAGTGTTTTTTTTTTTATTTCAGCATATTATGGGGGTACAGATGTTTAGGTTACATATGTTGCCCTTGCCCCCCCTCCCCCTTTATGGTGTTTTTGATAAACAGATCTGAATTTTACATTTACCACCTTTTCCTTAATGGCTACTGCCTTTTGTGTCATGTTTAAAAAAGTTTTTCTGGCCAGGCGCGGTGGCTCACGCCTGTAATCCTAGCACTCTGGGAGGCCGAGGCGGGCAGATTGTTTGAGCTCAGGAGTTCGAGACCAGCCTGAGCAAGAGCGAGATCCCGTCTCTACTAAAAATAGAAAGAAATTAATCAGACAACTAAAACTATATAGAAAAAATTAGCCGGGCATGGTGGCACATGCCTGTAGTCCCAGCTACTGGGGAGGCTGAGGCAGTAGGATTGCTTGAGCTCAGGAGTTTGAGGTTGCTGTGAGCTAGGCTGACGCCATGGCACTCACTCTAGCCCGGGCAACAGAGTGAGACTCTGTCTCAAAAAAAAAAAAAAGTTTTTCCTATTCCAAGGTAATAAAGGTATTAGATGTTCTCCAATATTATCTTCTAGAACTTTTCACATTTAAATCTATCATCCACCTAGAATTTATTTTTGCCTACCATATTTTGAAGATAGGATCATGTGACTACTACCCATCCAGACAATTAAAGACTAATTTTACTCATGAACATGGAAAATAAGCTCTGGGGCCCACCCTATCTCCATCCACTGTGTTCGTCCATCAGTGCACTCATGTATTCATTCACTGAAGGTCACTGACCGAGTAGTTTGCCCACCGCACACCAGGCTCGTTCTAACAAAAATTCCTCGTTCTCCGGGGCCTCTCTCCTTCCCTGGACCATTGCAATGCTCTCTCTTCTTTCTGGAAAGTTTCCCTTTTCTTTCTTGGTTTGGTTAACTCCTATTCATCCTTCAGATTTTAGTTCAAGCAACAACAACTCTAAGAAGGCCTTTCTGGCCTCTCCGATGAAGTCAAATTTCCTTCGTTGTATTTGTCACAGATGCCATTTTGCGTTTGCTTGTGTGATTATTAGATTAATATGTCTCTCCCATTAGACTGTGTCCCTCCCACAAGCCAGGGTTCCTCAACCTCAGTGACCTTTAGGACCAGATAGTTCATTGTGTGTGTGTGTCGGGCGGTGGTGGCGTTCTGTGCCTTGTAGAGTATGGAGCAGCATCCCTGGTTTCTTCTACCCACCAGCCGCCAGTAGCACCCCTCAAATTGTGACAGCCAAAATGTCTCCAGACATCGCCCTGGGTTGTGCAAAATCTTCCCAGTTGAGAACCATTGCATTAGACTGTGTGTCTGTCCCATTAAGACTGAAATATCCAGGAGGGCAGTGACCATCTGTTTTCTCCCAGTGTCTAGAATATTGCATGGCAGATAGGCAAATGCTCAGTAAACATCTGTTGGAATGAGTCAATACCAGGGTGTTACCTGAATTTAGAAGGAAGTGAAATGAAGAATGAGCCAACACCGAAAGAAGAGGCACTAATCAGGGACTAGAAGTCTTGGTAGAGTCTTAAGGCAGCGGCCATCAGAGTCAGCCAGTAGGAGAGCTGCACTGATAGAAAATTTGGGGTCTCAGAGGTGAACGAGGTCTTGGAGATGACAGGGTTCAGGTTTCAGTCAGAGAGATGGGTTGCTGGAGTGGCGACGCCAGACTGTTGTTGGAGCTCAGCAAACCAAGGTACCGTACGTGGTGTCTGTGTGTGTGTTCTCCACACTGCTACTGATGCTGCTTCCGGATTAGGGGCAAAGTCTAGAAAGACAGAGAGAGCTCAAAGGAGTTGGGACCCTCACTGAACACTGGGGGCCATTGAGGAGGGAAGGAAGTTGCCACAGCAGAGGGCATGGGTTGCAGGGGAAGAGGGAGGGCTCTTCCTTGAGCGTGGGTGGGTGACCCTGTGGACGTGGTCCGGGGAGAGCACACCGATGCTGAAGCGCCCTCACCGCCCCTCCACCGGGAGACAGGGAGTGTGAGGGAGCGAGGAGCAGCCGTGAGCGGGGGCCGGGGGGCTGGGGTCCTCTCTCCAAGGCAGCTGGCGTTGGCTAAATTTATTTCTCCTGAATGTGCACCCTGCTGCAGCCAGAGGGTGGTTCCTATGTTGATAGTGAGTCCTTCCTCACCAGGGCAGGGAGCCAGGAGTGGTCCAGGAGAGCAGTTTGGGGAGTGTCGTGGGCTTGGCTCAGAAGATCTTCTCTTTTACCTTCATCACGGATCTGGGTCATTTCCTAGATAGCCTGGACTTGAGGATCAGGGACGTATTTGAGACAGGAAGGCCTTTTGTGCGGTGTGCTAATGAGAGTCTCTCTCTCTCTCTCTCTCTCTTCCTTGCTGGCAAATTGCCTTTTTAGCTACTTTACAGGCTGCAGCCGAGGCTCTGCCTCCCATCTGTCAGCTAGCTTCCCATTCCTCCCCAGAGCCTGGTTTCCAGATGCCACTGCTGCTTGCTTTCTGGTAACTTCCACCCCTCCTTCCTTTCTTAACTCATTAGAAACGTCCTGCACGTGGAGGCTGTGCCTCTCTCTCTAGATTGCAGTGAAGGTCAATGGGTAATCGAGGCTGTCAGGATGCCAGGACTCTGACTCCTAACGAAGGCCAGGTGGCAGTTATCTCCACAGATTAGATAGCGAGCCCGCTCAAGGAGTGTCTCCCTTGCTGCATGCACCTGAATGGGCTGGAGCCCTCACGCCATCTCTGATTAGCCCTCGTGCCAGCACCAGGAATACATCCTACGTTCGATAGGGTTCGATTGACTCTCTCCTTGTATTATTCCCTGATCAAGTGTCACAGTTCAGCACAAGGCACTTGCGCTACTTGTGGTTTGCTGTGTCTGCCTTGCAGCGAATCAGAAGGTTGAGGCAAGACGTTGATTAAGATCGGATCCCGAGTTGGCCTTTTGAGGGGAGGAAAAGGAAAGAGAGCTTTTTATTTTTTTTCCTATATAAACATGTCCATTTATTCCTGGAGTTCACTTTTTTCCAACATCTTATTATGAAAAAAATTTGAAACACGTAATAAAATTTAATTTTACACTGAACACTGCTATAGGCGTGAACGCCTGTATTCCACAGCTAACATTTACTATTCTTTAAGCAAGCGTCTCCCAATCTCCCCTCCAGCGTCCTCTGCCTTCCCAGTCTGACCTTACAACGGGCAGCTTGCTGTTTATCAGCTTCCAGCTGGGGACCCATTCGTCTTTTTCCTGGGTTAGACTTGGGGACGCCCAAGCCACAGCAGCCTGGGGGAGGGGCTGCAAACATTTCTGCAAATCATTACTCCCTTCCCCATCCAAGATCTAGTACCTTGTGGAAGAGCTCTTGTCGGGCTCAGGTCCCAGAGTCAAGCTATGGTGTTGTTTCACCCCAAGTCTGGAGGGGTGCAGTGGAGGCAAGAAGATTGGGAAGGAAAATGCCAAACCTCAAGAAAATTACAACCCAAACAATAGCTCTCAGTGGCATGGCTCAGCCTCCAGGGTACCCAGGGTACCTCCTGCCCTCAGACCACACCCCCAAGGGCAGGAGGGAGCCACGGGAATTCAGGACGTCTCTGGAGCCTGCGTGTTCTGCTACTAGAATTCTCTGCTTCTCCTGGTGACCAGGCTCAGGGTTTACAGTGGAGCAATTTTCCCAAAGTTTGGAACATGGACAGAGGGAAATTCTTGAGATGATTTTAGGGGTTGGACATGGGGCCAATGACACTGAATCACAGGGTGAAGTTATTCCCTTTTCCACTTTTCCTCTTTCAGTTTTTTGATGAACTCAAAGGGGGAGTCTCGTGTCGCAGCCAGTGTGCCTTTTTTTTTAACACCTCTCTCCGACAACTCTCTCCCTCCCTCTCTCTCTCTCAAGAAGGAATAAGTACCTTCTGGGTCCAGAGTCTTTGGTGTGCAACAGTAAGTTGCCAGAAGAGAATAGAAAGTGAATGAATTGTTTTATTATCCCTACATTTATTTTTGCTGGTCCCCTTACATTTGATTTTCCATTTAAAGTGGTGATTTAAACTTCCCCTTTTTAGATACATTTATTTTAAATAAAAAGGTGAGTTGGTTTAAAGAAAAACATTGAGTAAATAACAATGTAGGATATGGCAACATTGGGATGGGGTGCACAGATGTCTCCGGTTTGGGAATATGATCATGGGCTTCGCACCCCTGGCTGGAACCCCAATTCCTCTGTGCCACACCCCTTTGCCCCCATTTGCTTCTCCCTCAAGTCTCCCGGTGGGAGTCCCAAGACTAAGGACCGTTTGTCCTTCTGAGTTTGGGGAGAAGGGAAGGGGCAGGAAGGGCTGGTGCCAAGAGGCCAAGTGCCCAGAACCCGCCGGTGGTGAACGCTCAGCTCTGACCTCCAGGTCACTACGATGCCAGAATACCTAAGGAGGCGCTTCGGTGGCAGCAGGATCCCCATCACCCTGGCTGTGATCTACCTGTTTATCTACATCTTCACCAAGATCTCGGTAAGGCGGGAACACAGCCTGGCCACGCCCCTGCGGCATGGGGAGAGGATGTCCCAGTCCTTTGCTGCGGATGTCCCCTGCCCACTCCCGTTTCCGTTCTCTTGGGCAGGCTTGGGGAGGTTAGAGGGAGATGGGAGGGGTGGGCAGAGGAGGTTGGGAGAAAAGGCCAAGGGAAGGACTCCCTCTCCTCCTCCACCGAAGCTTCTTAGGCGACATCTCAGGATGGTGTGTGTCCCGGAATGGGACTCCAAGAGCCCGACCAGCCCTTAGGAAGGGCTATTCTCTCCCTCCTGGGATCAGGCAGTTACGAGCTGTTACTCAGATATGCCAATGGTGCCAATTGGGCCTGCCCCACCCTGACCTTTGGATGGGCAGATCTCCCAGAAAGTGGCACAGAGCAGGTGCTTTGGCACCTTCGGGCATGTGCTGCCTGCCTGGCCCGGCTGCGCTGAAGCTGTCTTCCCTTCCAGGCAGGGGTGGGGAGCAGCTTGTCCTAAGGGAGGGGGTTGCGGGGACAGAAGGAATTTCATTCAATCCAAACAATGATGGACATATGCCAGCTCCAGCCAAAGGACTCACAGATGGGGGCTCCTTTCTAGAATGTTAGCTGGCAGTCTGGTGGGAAGCAGATGTGGGGAAGCTGCCTCAGAGAAGTTCCATCTCAGGAGGAGTTTAACAGTTAAAGGGGTATTGGCCTTCCAGAGGGGTGGACCAGCACGAGCAAAAGCTGGGAAGCACGGGTCGGCGTGACTTGTTGGAGAAACGGGGAGTATTACAAGCACCTGGATACAAAGTGAGCAAAGGACATGAGGGCCTGGCACGCAGCTCTAACTTATTTATTCAGCCTTTGTCTTGGGGCAGTGGGGAGCCACTCAAGGGTTTTAAATGGGGTGAGAAGGATGACGACATCTCAATGGTTTGATGAAGGTGGCAGTGTGGAGGACGGACAGAAGCAGAAGCCAGACCATTGAGGAGCTTGTTCATCAGCCCAGGGCAGGGGTCTCAAACTTAAAAGGTCACAGGGCTCCCATGTGAGATCCCTGATCTGGGACAAGACGGATGAAGAAGGGACAATGCATGACTCTTTTGTGTTTGTCAGAATCTAGGCGAGGCCCTCATGGCCGAGAACCTGTGCTGCCCATGTCCATTCATTCATTTATTCGTTTGTTCATCCATTCGTTTATTCATCCATTGACTTCCTGTCTCCACAGGTGGACATGTACGCAGGCGCCATCTTTATTCAGCAGTCTTTGCACCTGGATCTGTACCTGGCCATCGTTGGGCTGTTGGCCATCACGGCTGTCTACACTGTAGCAGGTATGAATGGGGGTGATGCTGGGAGAGGTCGTGGGCAGGAGCTGTGTCTCCCTCATCTTTTCCTGACCCATCTTCTGATGTTCCAGTGTGTTAAGACCATTCATTCATTAAACCTCACTCCATTGCCCTTGCTAATAGGATGTCTCTTGGCCATTATCCAAAGGAAGAGGATTGCCTGATAAGAGAAAGAATTTAAAAAATGCACAACTGCCTAACATGTTTTCCCATCCATGTGTCCCAGAACTATTTGTTGAGAACCCGCTAAGTGCTGAGCACATACATACACATGCATGATATGAGGCAGGATAATAAATAACCTTGATTCCGGAACCCGAGGTCAGGCAGCCGCATCTTCCTCCCTCAGACTTGCCTGGCATGTAATGGGGCCTTGACAAGTGTCTGTTGTAGTATTCACCCCTTCATTGTCTGCTCCATTTCCACGTTTCTCTGCCTCCTCTTGCATGCACGTGTGTGTGTGTGTGTGTGTGTGTGTGTGTAGATAATGGTACCTACTATGTGCTGGGTGTCATGTGTGTAAGCAAGACAGACAAAAGTCTCTACCACAGAGGAACTTACATTCTAGTGGAGATGGGAGACAAATAGTGAGCAAGGAAATCAGTGAAGAATGTCTGGAGATACCATTATGACCTGATAAGTACTATGAAGGAAAATTAAGCAGGGTGAAAAGATGGGGAATAATGGAGGAAGGTTTTTTTGTTTATTTTTTTTTTACATAGAATGTTCAGGTAAGGCCTCTCTAAGTGCCATGGAACACTGTTGGATGCTCTAAACAGAAAAATGGCAAAATTTTATGCAAGGTCCTCTGATACAGAAAGATGTTGGCTGAGTTGTCAGAGGCAACAGAAGCCATGTGCCTGGGGCCTGGGGAGGGGAGGGCAGCCGGTTCATCTTCGTATTCCTTGTTTGGGGTTCTGTCTCCTCCGGTAGACTGCAGCTCTATGAGGGCAGGGGACGTGCCATTTTGTTGGCCTCTGTACTCCTACCACGTAGAACTTAGCAGGTGCTCACCAGGTATTTAGTGAATGACTGAATGAAAGACTCCCACGGTGCCTGGCATGGGATAGATGCTCAGTAAACATTAGTGTAGACAGGAGGATGGGGTTAAGTGGTGCCAAATGTCAGGATCTCACTCTATTCGGGCTGTCTCATTGCACAAGCACACAGCGGAGAATTAAGGCCAGGATCTAAGCCAGGCCTCCTCCCACTTGTGAGAGGCCCATTCCTGCTGGCAAGGAAGGAGGAGTCAAGGACACCACACCCACAGGCACAGCTTTTTTTTTTATTGCACAGTGACTGTGCCCTCTGGTAAACAGATTCATATCAGGTAAGTGTCCTTTCTCCTTAGAGAAAGAGGAAAGAGGGAGATATAGGGAAAAGTAAGTAAACATGAGACAAACCCAAAGATTGCTCTGGCCATATGCTGATGGGTTTGCTACTAATATTGTCATTCCAGAGATTTTTCTACGTGGCAAAGCCAGCAAGAATCCCCTGAGGCAGACCACCACGCCCCTGTTCAGGAAGTCTAAGGGGCTCTGAATACCTAGTATTCGCATCCTCTTTCCAATGTTAAAAATAAAAACATTTCAGCTGGGTATGGTGGTGTCTGCCTATAGTCCCAGCTACTTGGGAGGCTGAGGAAGGAGGATCGCTTGAGACCAGGAGTTGAAAGTTGCAGTGAGCTATGATGACACCACTGCCCTCATGCTGAGGCAACAGAGTGAGACCCTGTCTCAATCAATCAATGTCGGAGCTTGGAGACTATGGCACAAGCATTACTTCCTATATCAGTTAGAAATTGGTGTGTAACAAACCACCCACAAATTTAAGGACTTGAAACAACAATGGTCTATTATTCCCCACAATTCCATGGGTTGCCTGGTCTCACCTGGCTCCACTGAATTGCAATTAGGTAGCACCTGGAACAGCTGGCTGGGACAAGGTGGCCTCACCCACATGGCTGGCAGTTAGCTTGGGCTGTCGGCTGGGCTTCTCCTCCATGTGGGCCAGCATCTTCCATTAGCTTACACTGGGCTTCCTAAAGCATGGTGGTCTCAGGGCAACATGAGGGTAAGTGCAGAAGCTGCAGGGCCCCCTGAGGCCCAGGCTGGGAGATACACAATATCACTTTTGCCATATTCTATTGGCCAAAGCAAGTCACATGGCCAAGCCCATATTTAAGAGGTAGAGATGTCAACTTCATCTCAACATGAAAGGAGCAGTGGAGTCATCTTGCAAAATGGGCATGCACACAGAGAGCAGTGATCATGGCCACCTTTGCAATCAATCAACGCTGAGAAATCTCCCGTCAGGTCTTCACCTTGCAGGTTTCCTTTGTGACCCAGAGTAACTCCTCTTCGTCAGATTACCTGGCCCTTACCGCTCATCCCCACAGGTGGCCTGGCTGCTGTGATCTACACAGACGCTCTGCAGACTCTGATCATGCTGATAGGAGCGGTCACCTTGATGGGCTACAGTAAGTGGGGTCCCAGGGTCACTTGGGTGGATGACAGCACCTCTCTCAAACAGGGACATCTGTTCTCATCACTGTGATCAGCAAACCCAGCTATCAAAAAGCACACTACTTGGGGATTCCTGTCGCAGGTGTTTTGCTTGAGGCCCGGTTATTTTAGCTAGAAGGGAACCGTGCTTAATATGGAAACTTATGATTTTTCAAAGTAAAAATTAATATTCCTTCTTATACTGATAGGGAAAAATATTGAATAAGTAAATAAAAGAGGGCAAAGGGATAGCTCTTCCTTACAGAAGATTCTAATTAATCCATGCAGATGAAGTGAGAGAAATAGAAGAATCACCATTAATGCACCATAGTAATAATCGCCACAGGCGAGATCCAGTGATCAATGCTAAAGTTAATGGGTGAAAGTTTATGAAGAAACAGGATATTTGCACAGTCTCAAAGTATCATGGCCCAAATATTTATTAATTACAACGTAAAAAATAGTCACTTTTCAAGTGGAGAAACCTGGCACCCACTACCATACCTAAGTAATGAAGGTTAATGTCACCAGTAATAAGACGTCCCGATGCCACGTGTCTCCTGGTCTGGTGCATGGAGGACGCAAAATCTCCTCTGTGACATTCTTGCCAAAAACACACAGCCTCAATTTAATCGCAAGTAAACATGAGACAAACCCAAGTTGAGGGACATTTCACAAAATACCTAATCAGTATTCTTCAAAAGTGTCATGGGTGTGAGAAACAAGGAAAGACTGAGGAGCTACCATGGAGTGGTGGAAACTAAGGAGACATACATCACAAATGCCATGTGGGATCCTAGACTGTGCATCAGGAGAGAAAGGAACATGAGTGGTGACATCTGAAGACTTCAGATCTGTAGTATCGTTAATAGTATTGTACCAATTTTGTCTTAGTCTGTTTGAGTTGCTATATACAATAAAATATCAACAAACATGTATTTCTCACAGTTCTGGAAGCTGATAAGTCCAAGATCAAATCGCCAGCAGATGTGGTGTCTGATCAGGCCTGTTCTTCATAGATGGTGCCTTCTTGCCACATCCTGGAAGGGGCTTGTTAGCTACCCAGGGTGTTTTATAAGGGCATGAATGCCATCCATGAGGACACAGCCCACGCGACCTAATCGCATCCTAAGTTCTCATTACCTTGGGGGTTAGGATTTCAACATATGAATTTTAGAGGGGCACATTTAGACCATAGACAATGTTAATTTTTTAGCCTTGATTACTGTGATTATGTAAGATGATAACATTGGATGTAGGGTATATGGGGACTCTGTATTACTTTTACAACTCTTCTGTAAGTCTCAAATTATCTTAAACAAAATGTTGAAAAAGTAATAACTATTAAAACACCTGTGATCCAGATGCTTTATCCCATTTAAGGTTCATAACAACCTAATAATGTTGGTATTGTTGTCACTCTTTTTTAAATGAAAAAACTAAGGCAGTAACTGTTAAACGACAGTTTATGCCTACAGTCACATAGCTAATAAAGCTAGGGTTCAAAGCCAGGATTCAAACCCAGGCAGACTGACTTCAGACCTCATATCATTAAAACCATCATACTGCCTGATAACAGTGGGAAGGTAACCTGGTAACAAATTTTATGGGAAGAGTCTAGGAGCAGAAGTCAAGAGAGGACAGGCAAGACTCGTACTTTAACATTGTACCTTTCTGCACAGTTTGAATTTTGTGTATATGTCACTTTTATCTTTGAAGCAAAAATTCAAAGAAATAATCATGGAATAATACATTAGTTTCCCAATACAAACAGCAACAAAAAATTGCTTATGATTAACTTGAACAAAAAACATTAGGAACCCTTATAAAAAAAAACTTTACTGTTATGTATAAAGAGGAAATACAAATGAGTAATGAATATATGAAGGACAAATGTCTAGCCTCACTAGCTAAATGCTTGGGGTGGTCACTATCATAAATAATATCACAAACCTTTGAACTTCTCAATACTGCGCCAGCAGCTCATAATACGTGGTTTCAGAGGCATGAGAGAGCCAAAAGTTAGCTCTTCACATGGTCTGTTATTCTTAGCCAAACCTCTAGATATTTCCCCATAAAAGTGTGGGGTCTCCATGGGGGACTTTCATTATTTAAGTCATTACAACCATTAGTCAGGAGAGGGATTACAGATCGACCCTCAACGATCTTCATCAATCTACTGTATCTAGTAGACATCCCCCCGCAAGGCATCTATCCGTGGGTTTTCACATGTACTCTTGAACAACTCACATCAGTGCTGTTGCAGGGATAACTGCATTTGTATGTTTCATTGATCGTTTCTATGAACTTGGGAAGGACAGGATAAAACTTCCAGGGAGTTCTGGGCTTCTCTTGTATTGTACCATCTTTTCATGGTCCCCTTGACAGTTTTCTGCTTCCTTGTTCTTGCAGAGGGAAGAGCCTCCCTGTTATCTTATAGTTCACAGAAGGATAAGCTGGGTTCTCTCACAGTTGGGTGTGGGTCTTAGCCCAGTGTTCAGAAAACATCCTCCAGTATAGATATGAGAAATATGGGGCCAGGTGTGGTGGCACGCACCTGTAGTTCCAGCTACTCGGGAGGCTGAGGCAGGAGGATCACTTGAGCCCAGGAGTTGGAGGTTGCAGTGAGCTATGATGATGCCACTGCACGCTAGCCTGGGCAACAGAGCAAGACAAAGAAAGAAAAAAGAAAAGAAAAGAAAAGAGAGGAAGGGAGTAAGAAAGAAATATTATTCTGAGAAGCAATTGTGGGGCAAGGGAAAACTTACGTTTCACTGAAAAGTCAACTGAAAAATGCAGATTAAGAAGAGAAGAGGCATACACATTTATAAGCATGTCGGGGGAGAATCACACAGTGATTGCCCAATATCCTAATGGGGTACCGATGCTTATATACCCTACTCCTTAGGGGAAAGGAAGATGGGGAAGTGTGGATGATTTTAGGTGGGTAGTAAATGATTTTTCCAGGAATTCAATGGGCTTGAAGAACATACGGTGGCCTGGGACACAATCTGCTGGGCCCACAGAGCAGACAATGGTTTGTGACAAAAGTCTGTCCAGGTGTGTTAGAGACTTCAGTGTTTCTTCCCGCGATATGAGTTCAGTTAGTGAGAACTCAGGGAAGGGACTGGAGGTAACTGTTTTCTTCTTTGGAGGGTCCAGACTTTAGACAGATGAGGGAACTTCAGAGAACATCTGAGGACTGAGAGACAGGAGCTGGGAAGGTCAGAGAGACCTCGAGGCTGCTTCAGTTCAGCATGTCAAAGCGCCATATTGTGGGGTAGCAGTTTCTGAGCCCCAACACAATCCATATCCATAAAATACTACCAAAGGCATTTTAAAAACAGGGCGGGAGTTAAGAACCCTTAAGGGGACCAACATTTTTTGGTAGCTCTGCTCCTAGGAGGAGCTCACTGATGTCTAACCACCCCCTCATCGCTTGCTATGGGGGACTTGCTAAGTTCTTGGCAAACAGGCTCCTCTGAATTCCAGGTTTTGCTGCAGTTGGTGGGATGGAAGGCCTGAAGGAGAAGTATTTCTTGGCCCTGGCTAGCAACCGGAGTGAGAACAGTAGCTGTGGGCTGCCCCGAGAAGACTCCTTCCATATTTTCCGAGATCCACTGACGTCTGATCTCCCGTGGCCGGGGGTCCTGTTTGGAATGTCCATTCCATCCCTCTGGTACTGGTGCACGGATCAGGTACAGGACAGCAGGTGGGGCAGCTTGTTTTCCTTCTTTTTGCTTCTTTCCTTAGAGTGGCTGAAAATCTATGCCTTTTTCTCGCTCTGTCTATTCTCTCATTTGTGTTTTCCCTGCGTCCTTTCTTGACTGCTCTTTCCTCTCCACTGTGCTACGGGATATTTTACTTCTTGCTTTTGCAAATGCTGGTGGCAAGTCCAAAGCTGCTGATATCTGCAAAGGGGAAAACTCAATACATACTGCCTAATGCCTGGGAAGATCCAGTCAGCAAAGGAGATAATACATTTTAAGTGGAGGTTGAAATGTCACCATTTGGACATCATTTGTTCAACAAATACCTACTGGGTGCCCTTTTTTAGGAAGAAGTCCCATGGAGAGTTGTAATTGGATTGCCTTGGGTGCATGCTTTTCCATAATTTTCATGGTAGCCAGAGAGGTAGAGTAATTCTGTGCAGAGCTCTAATTGGCCAGGTCTAACCCCTTGCATAAAGGAGTAGAGAGGAAACAGGATGGAAGTCATAGCTACCCCAGTTGGACCACAGGGACTGAGAATAGGAAAGAGATGCTTCCTCAAAGAGAAGACAAGATCCTAAGTCTACTACATCTACCAAGAAGCTATGCACACCTAGTTTGCCTTAAGAGAAAGCCATCTCAGCTTCCAACCACCCTCACTGTTTTTCCAGGTGATCGTTCAGCGGAGTCTGGCTGCCAAGAACCTGTCCCATGCTAAAGGTGGCTCTCTGATGGCCGCATACCTGAAGGTGCTGCCCCTTTTCATAATGGTGCTCCCTGGTATGGTCAGCCGCATCCTCTTCCCAGGTGAGAAGGTTGGGAGAAGAGGTCATCTGCCTGTGAGTCTCAGCCCCTGTGAAGTGCTCTAAACATATTGCTGGCTGCCCCGAGAGAATGTGACTAGAGTCCTTTCCTAGTGATTGGACTGAGGTGTCTCCATCTGGCATCTACTGACTCTAAGCTGTTCAGTGGACAACACTGGTTCAATGGGCAGGTCCTGTTGGTGTCCCAAGCCAAATGGAGTGCAGACTCAACCGGGACCTTGCCTCAACTGTATTCTTTTGAAACCAACTAAGCTAAAGTCTTGTGGCTTCAGATGTCAGTTCCCTAAGTCTCATGTGGAAGTTCCTCTCATGCTTTAATGTTTGAGCTGAGTGGTTTAGTGACTTTGGCCCAATGGAACTCTTTTTTGGATACTTTTCTTAACAAATGTCAGGGGATATCAAGGCCTGTAGAGTATTTGCCTTAGTGTTTTTGTTTTTGTTTTGTTTTATTTTTAATGTGGTAAAGGGATAGGTTTGAACTATGGGGATAAACAATACTGAGGAAGGGGCCATGCTATTTGGAGTCACTGCAGTGTCAGGAACTGGTGGTCTGTATGGAAAGAAGCTCTCCTCGTCTCCCTTCAAACAGCAAGCTTTCCTCCATATCTGGCAAGGCTGTTACTAACTAAAGGGGAGTGAAAATCCCCTAAGCTTTATCCCACACGAAGTTAAACAGAAGTAAAGAAAGGGCAGGATGACAATGGTCTATAGTTGGCCAAGCAGTTCAGTCAAAATAATTTAAGGCCCTTAAGAATTAGGAGAAGGCTGGATGCAGTGGCTCATGCTGGTAATCCTAGCACTCTGGGAGGCTGAGGCAGGAGGATTGCTTGAGCTCAGGAGTTCAAGACCAGCCTGAGCAAGAGTGAGACACCGTCTCTACTGAAAACAGAAAAATTAGCCAGGCATCATGGTGCGCACCTGTAGTCCCAGCTTCTTGGGAGGCTGAAGCAAGAGGATCACTTGAGTCCATGAGTTTGAGGTTGCAGTGAGCTATGATGATGCCACTGCACTCTACCCAGGGCAACAGAACTAGATTCTGTCTCAAAAGAACAACAAAAAAAAAGAATCAGGAGGAAAGAGTTGGGGAAGGCAAATGGGGGGCGTGGTCCACAGTGCTAGCCTCGGGGATTGTGTTCCTCCAGCCTAGGTGGGATGAAGAACCCAATAGTCACTGATCTTGCTTCCAGGAAAGGGGCAAAAGGCTTGGAAAAGTCCAGAGGGGATAAAAACTGGGATCTGAGTTTTGTGATGACTTGGAAAAGATACAGCCGTTGAGCAAGGCTCGACATATGAACAAAGACAGTGGCTTCAAACCACCAGTATTCACTGTGCGCTTGCTAAGGGCCAGCCCCTGTGAAAAGAGTTTTCCAGTACAGTATGGTGGTCATGAATTTGGACTCCGAGCGGAACTGCCCAGGCCTGCATCTTGGCTCTGCCACTTACAAGCTATGTGACTTCGTGTATTAACAAATCATTTCATCTCTCTTTGCCTCCGTTTCCTCACTTGCAAAGTGGAAATAATAATATTTCATAAGACTTAAAGCAGGTCCTGGCATGTGGCAAGCACGATAGGTGTTCACTATTATTATTTTATATATGTATTGCCTCATTTCGTCCTCAAAATGACCTTATGAGGTAGATACTAGTATTGTTATTTTCATCTTACAGATGAGGAAATTGGAGTTTGAAGAAATTAATTCATTCACTCATTTATTTATCCCTCCACATATTCAACATGTATTTCGAAAGCCAGTTACCTGCCAGGCCTTATTCTAGCAGACCCTGGGGCTCTGTAAGTGAACAAGACATATGGTATCTTTGCTGTAGTGGGACTTACATTCCAGTGGTGGAGGACACAGACAGAAATAAGGAAAGAAATGAATGAGATAATTATTGATCGTGCTAAGTGCTGTGAGAAAGATAAACAGGAAGACAGGTTAGGGAATGCAGGACAGAGGCTATTTCAGACAGGGTTTCCAGGGAAGTCCTCTCTGAAGGGACAATGGTCAATGCATGTGGATGGTTTGAAAGCATATTTTAGAGTGGAGCCAACCAGGTAAATGATGGATTGGATGTGGAGGTTAAGGAAAAAAAGAGGAATCTAGAGTCACTCCTGGGTTAAGTGACTCGCCAGACGTTACTGAGCTAATGCCTGGTAAGCTGGGATTTGGGTCCAGACGTACCTGACTCCAACACCGGACTCTGGGTCATGTAAGCCACATCTGCAGACTTGGATGGACATCTGGAGGATCAATAACAAGACCCTGACTCTCTCCCTTAATAGTCAACCAGCCACTCAACAATAATTATCAAATGAGACATAAGACCACGTTTCTTGAACCCAAGGACTTTGTAATGTAACTGATGAGTCTGGTACTCATGAAAAAATAAGATAAACTATTAAAACTATATTAAAACAGTCTATCATATGGTACAAGCAATAAGAGCAAAAGGAAATTGAGAGAGGGTGAGGTGAGCACTGTATATCTGAAATCTCTCTCCTGTCTTTGGGGGCCTGAACCAGTGTTTCTCAAAGTGTGCTCCCCACCCAGCAGTGTCTTCTTGGAACTTGTTAGAAACGCAAACATTTGGGTCCTGTCTAAGAGCAGCTATATCAGAACCCCTGGGGAGAGGGCCCAGCCATCTGCTTTGTTTTGTTTTTCTTTTTTTACTTTTATTATTATTTCTAATTGTAAATATTTATGGGGTACAGTGTGATATTTTGATACAAGTATACAATGTGTAATGATCAAATCAGGGTAATTAACATATCTATTACCTCAAACATTTATCATTTCTTTGTGTAGGGAACAATCAAAATCTGCTTCTCTAGCTGTCAGAAAATATACCAGAAATTGTTAATTATAGTCACTCTGTAGTGCTATAGAACACTAGAACTTATTCTTCCTATCTAGCTGTACTTTTGTATTCATTAACCAACCTTTGGCTACCCACCTCCCCCTACCCTTCCCAGCCTCAAATAACTATTATTCTACTCTCTACTTCTATAACATCAACTTTTTAAGCTCCCACATATGAGGGAGAACATGTGGTATCTATCTTTCTCTGCCCAGCTTATTTCACGTAACACGGTGTCCTCCAAGCTCATCTATGTTGTCATGAATGAGAGAATTTTGTTCTCTTCCATGGCTATATAATAATCCATTGTGGATATGTACCACATATCCATTCATCCTTTATTCACTCATCTGTTGGTGGACACTTAGATTGATTCCGTGTCTTGGCTATTGTGAATAGTGCTGCAACAGACGGGGAGTGCAGATATCTCTTCAACATGCTGATTTCATTTCCATTGGATATATACCCTGTAGTGGGATTGCTGGATTGTATGGTAGTTCTAATTTTAGTTTTTTGAGGAACCTCCATACTGTTTTCCATAATGGCTATACTAATTTACATCCCTGCCCACAGTGTATATATGAGTTCCTCGTTCTCCGCATCCTCACCAGCATTTGTTATTTTTTGTCTTATTCATGAGACTCATTCTAACTGGGGTGAGATGATACCTCATTGTGGTTTTGATTTGTGTTTCCCGGATGATTAGTGACGTTGAGCATTTTTTCCATATACCTGTGCCAGCCATCTATTTCTAATGTGCCCACTAGAAGCCTGAGAACCCTAGGTCTAAAGTTCCAGGCTCAGGGCCAAGCCACTATGCCCTCCTATTTCCACTTCTCTCTCTGCTCCATTTCCACCTGCTCCTTCCTAAATCTTCAACTGGATGCTCTGGTCCTGAGCTCTTGTGATCCTGGACAAAAACCTTCTTCCACTAAGTCCACTTGAGAATTAGCAAATATTTTTAAAGAAACTTTACATGGAAATTAAAAGAGAAGAAAACAACTCTCAGAACAATATAACACAAGAATCCAGAGATGCACCTAATTACAAAGCTAGTCTTCCCTACCTGAGCTATGGAATAAACTAAGGGTTTGATTCCTGGCCATAATATTTTCTAGCTATATTATTTGGAGAAACTTTTTAACCTCTGGGCTTCAGTTTATTTGTCTTCAAAGTGGGGATAATAATGTCTTCCTCATACAGTTGTGAAAATTAAATGAGGTGTATGTGTAGTGCTTATTGCAGCATTTGAAGCATAGAGAACCTTCAGTGAATGTTGGAATTGTGGAAGAAGGAGGTTTTGAGCTACATTTACATTGCTAGAGGCATCCTTTATTTCAAGCATCAGAGGGTCTGAAGCTTTCTGATAAGAGAACCCTCTCCATATAGGAATTAGTTGATTAACCCAAGACAGGTGAGCAGATGTTATTGAAGGGTGAGTTAATGACCACAAAGCTACCAATTTCATTTATAACTTAGCTGAACCAACTAACTTCCCCACGATGAACATAATTTTTAGACTGAATAAACAAACACAATTTTCTGCAACAAACATGCTTCACAAACTTTGTGTCTGTCACATGTCTCATGGTTGAAGGTTGCATTCCTAGAAGGTAAAACAAAAACTTTGTAGTTAACAATTATATATCTCAGGGAGGTTCTTGCTCCTTCTTGGTATAACTTGAAAATGGGGAATTTTTCGACAACAAGAGGCAGAGCCTATGTAGAGTTAAACTTAAACAAGACCTTTGGCCTACCTGGGAGTTTCCTTGCAGTGTCTGGCAACGGGAATGTAAATATTTTCTAATCTTTTCCTAAGTATCCTCAGAAGAGTAATAAAAAGCCAAGAACTTTGACCTTCTCAAAAGCATTTTTCTCAGTAAGATCGTCTCTTCTCAATACTGCTCATCAAATATCATTTTGATCTGCCATCTTAATTTTGTCCCAAACTGAACCATCATTTTGGGGGGCATCTGCTTTTATTCCATAGTAATTGCTATTTGTATTATTAATGATGGTCACAGCACCTATTTTCTCCACCACTGGTGGATGTTAGTGGAGGGAAGGGTCCCAGCCGTGAGAAGACATCACCGTCGGGGAGGAGTTTTATAAAGACTAGTTAGCCCTCGGGCCTCCCAGTGGATAAAAGGGCCTGGGGCTGTTTCTATTTCTTAGGCCTCCTGCTACACCAAAAGAGAAAGTGAAGATACAGCAATACTAGATTTCAAAATCATGGTGTACTTTACATGTTTATGTTTATTACATTAACATTTTTAATGGAAATAAAAATACAGGGGCTAAATACATCACCTCGCTTGGCGATATTGTCAAATGTCTGCATTTGAGGCCATTGTGAATTTGAGGCCTCAACTAACGGTCATCACGACACTGACATTGGATTGGAACAAGGATGAAACCAGCATAAGCAGTGAAGGGCTCCAATTCCGCCCCCAAACTGAGCTTCAGGGCAGGTCCCACTCACCAAGGAAGATGGGCTGACAGGCCCTGTCACCTCCAAATGAGGAGGAAGGATGAAGCCCCCGTGGATTGAGCAGAGAGAGGGTCTGGGAAGCACTCATGGGAGCCACACCTAGACCCACCTGTTAAAAGAGACTTGAGAAGTAACATGGGACCCACCAGCCTGGGCGACATAGGGTGGGTGGTGCTGGATAGACTCTGGGACGGTGGTGAGAAACACAGTTAGCCCAGGCATGAGAAGCTGGGGGCGACAAAAAGTGACAAGAAAGGTATCACTCAGACACAGGTGCTAAACCACTGAGATGGCATGGAGTGTTCTGCAGGCCCCGGTGACCAGGATTAGTCCCTGGAGGGGGTCACTGCGCCAGATTCACTAAAGATGGAAAAGATACGCTCTCCTGGCCTTCCTTCTTGAAAAAGAGAAAAGTTGGGAGACTCAGGTTTAAGTTTGGCTGTGACATGATCTTGCTGGTGATCATAATCAGATCCCTTCCCCTCTCTGAAACCTTCTCCTCATGTGCAAAATGTAAAAGCAACCTCTGCCTTTCCCACGGGGTTATGAAAAAGACAATAATGTGATAGCTAGCCTCTCCCCACCGAAATTCACTCATCCCCTACTCTGTGCCACACGCTAGTATAGCTTTTTTTTTTATCTCCTCTTCTGTCTTGCAAGCAGGAGGCCTATGCTGTGTGCTTGGGGTGTGTTCATCATAACAGGCGGAGAAGCAGAATAGAGTTGCCAGGAGGGGCGGATGGATTTACAGTAGAGAAATCGGAGCTGCTCCGGCGAGAACAGAATTGATACAGAGACGCAGAAAGAGGAGGGAGAAATTCAGAGCCAGCATGGTGGAGTCTTTGGGTCTAGAATGAGGGACAGCTGTTGAACCACATGAGCCAGGGAAAGAGGAATTTTAAAAGCGTTTGCCATGTGTCAAGCCACGAGGAACTTCAGTAAAGACGTGAGATGCTTTTGTCCCCTTTTTTGGCGGTCGGGGGATGGAGCCCGCTTAGGACACCTCTGTAAGACTGGCACTAGTGGCTCAGCTTCCTCTGGGTCACAGTAACAGTAGCTGAAGTGCTTCCAGCACTTCCTGCGTAGCAGACTGTGTGTGACATGCTTTACATGTGTCACCTCAGTCAATTCTCACTATAATGTCTGAAGCAGAATGACGTTATTATCTTGACTTTTACGGTATGGCAACTAAAGTTCAGAATGGTTAAGTGACAAGGTCACAGCTGATAAAGCCTGGGCTCTTTTTCATTTCACTGAGCTATAAACTTACACACAATCAACCCGCCTCCTAGTGCTGGCCTGTGTGGGGCCATTTTCTGGCTAGGCCCGCGGCTCCGAGGCCTGGGCTCAACTCTGGGCCTGTGTTTCTTCCGTAGATGAAGTGGCATGCGCAGATCCAGAAATCTGCAAGAAGGTCTGTAGCAACCCCTCTGGCTGTTCTGACATCGCGTATCCCAAACTCGTGCTGGAACTCCTGCCCACAGGTAATGTCCCTGCACCCCTAAACCGGGCTCCCTAGACCACCCAGAAAGGAGAACACGGGCTGGGCTCTGGTCTGAGATAGGGATAAGTTGGGAGGGCTATGGGCAGGAACAGGCTCTGGGCTCAGGGATTGGGCCCCAGAGCTAGGGCCCCCCCCCAGCCAAACCCAGGTCTTGGCTCTCCTGGGGGTGCTGCCCAGCCATCCCCTCTGAGGTTCTGCCTCCTCAGAGTTGAGCCCACTGGGCTTGGGGTAACAGAGAGAAGGCAGCAGGTGTGACAGGAAAAGACCCAGGCCATGACCTCCCTTCTGCCCCCAGGGCTCCGTGGGCTCATGATGGCTGTGATGATGGCGGCTCTCATGTCCTCCCTCACCTCCATCTTTAACAGTGCCAGCACCATCTTCACCATGGACCTCTGGAATCACCTCCGGCCTCGGGCATCTGAGAAGGAGCTCATGATTGTGGGCAGGTAAGGCTTTCCTGGGTGGGGCTGGCGGGGAGTGAAAAGTCCAGATACCTGGGGAGGAGAGAGCTGAGCCTACCCAGAGGCAAAAAGTCCAACCAGCAGCTTTTCCAGGTTGCCTCAGCCTCCTCCAACAGCAGAGAGGTGGAATGTCAGGACCCGACGTATAAGAACATTCTTTCGCTCACGAGCTGTTCAATGAGCACCTACTATGTCCTAGGTACAAGGGCATATAGCCATGAAAAGAAAAGACTCAGTTCTTGCCTTCATGGAGCTAAAGGAGAAGAAGGAATATAAGTAAACTGATGACTATAACCCAAATGATTTCCAATGGGGCAGTCAGGAGATCTGGAGATGCAGGGTTGTGACCTGAGGGATGAGTAGGAGTCAGCCAGGTAAAAGGGGGAGAGTGTTCTTGGGACTGGAGGAAAGGTTTCTATATGAAGGCGTCTGTAGAGTAATGAAGCCTAATGGGAGGAACTGAAATATAAGTGGCATGTAAATTTTATGTAAATTACATGCAAATAACCACCTTGGGGCTCCCTCACTCAAGATGATGCACGGTGAGGGCTGTCTAGTCCTGGGTGAGGAAAAGTGTTCTTAGATGTGATGCCAAAAGCACAATCCATAAAAGAAAAAAATGATACAATGGACTTGACAAAAATTAAAACATTTCCACTTCAAAAAGACACCATTAAGAAAATGAAAAGACACGCCACAGACTGGAAGAAAATATTTGCAAGCCGTGTATCTGATAAAGAACTTGTAGTCTAGAATATGTGAAGAACTCTTGTAACACAGTAAGACCAATAACCAAAAGATTGGAACAGACACGTCACTGAGGAAGATGCATAAATGGCTAGCATGTGCATGAGAAGATGCTCAACATCATTAGTCTTCAGGGCAATGCAAATTAAAACCACATGAGATACCACTAACACACCCACTAGAATGGCTACAATCAAAAAGACAGACAAGGAGGCAGAGAAACTGGAACTCTCGTACATTGCAGGTGGGAATATAAAACGGTTCAACTGTTCAAAAACGGTTTGGCAGTTTCTTAAAATGTTAAATATAAATTTATCACGCAACCTAGCAATTGCATTCCTAGAAATGAAAACATAATGTCTACACAAAGATGTGTATACAAAGGTTCACAGAAGCACTATTCACAAGAACTGAAAAGTAGAAACAATCCCAATGTCGACCAACTGGCGAAGCATAAATAATGGCACTTAATGGAATAGAGGGACAGGAAGCAGGTAAGTGGTTGTTTAGGGTGAGAGCAGCAGTGAGCTGTAAATGGGCATGAGAACTTTCTGGAATGATGGATGTAATTGATCCTGATTGAGGCGATGGTTGCACAACTAGATACATTTACTAAAAACTATTGGATTGTACATTTACAATGGGTGAATTTTATGGTATATAAATGATACATCAATAAATATTTTTTTAAAAAGATAGCAGTAAATGTTCAGGGAAGATGGCACTAACCTGGGGCCTCTCTCTGTCGGCGCCAGGGTGTTTGTGGTTCTGCTGGTGCTGGTTTCCATCCTCTGGATCCCTGTGGTCCAGGCCAGCCAGGGCGGCCAGCTCTTCGTTTACATCCAGTCCGTCAGCTCCTACCTGCAGCCGCCCGTGGCGGTGGTGTTCATCATGGGATGCTTCTGGAAGCGGGCGAACGAAAAGGTAGCTCTAGGTCAGCCCCTGCCCTGCAAGAGCCAAGCACTGCCCCTGAGGACTGGGAAAGGAGGGGTGGGGAGCGTTATGAGAAGACACGAGGCTGAACTCGGGTGTCATGAGGGAGGGTGAGTTCTGTGGTGGAAGACACACGGAGGGTGCTACCTGGCCTTTAACAAAATGCCTTGGGGCTTCTCAGAAGTATCTCGATACATTTTGGTCATTGAACAGGGAAGCTACGTTAACAGGGAATGAGTAAATGATATGTAATCGATTTGTTACACGTAAAAGGTAAACAGATAAGCACCTCCGAACTTCTCCAAATCACTGACCCGCGCAGCGACTGTCACAAGAAAGACAAGCTCTTGAGACAGCTTCTTGAGGTTTCTGGAGGCCCAAGTTCTTGCCGTCTTTAAGAAGGTCTTGCTCTGATTTGCAGGGTGCCTTCTCGGGCCTGATCTTGGGCCTGTTACTAGGCTTGATTAGGCTGGTCCTGGACTTTATTTACGTGCAGCCTCTGTGTAACCAGCCAGATGAGCGCCCTGCTGTGGTGAAGAGTGTCCATTACCTCTACTTCTCCATGATTCTGTCCACAGCCACCCTGATCACTGTGTCCACTGTGAGCTGGTTCACAGAGCCCCCTTCCAAGGAGATGGTACGTTTGGGTGGACGGCTGTATCTGTGGAGTCTCTTTGTTGCAAGTGATAGAAAACTGACCCAAACTGGCTTAAGCAAAGAGGATTCGTGTTCAAAAAACTCAAAAGCCCAGGGTTGGGCTTCAGGGACAGGATGATTCCAGACTCTGAAAAGGTCATTAGAATCCATCTCTCGCTTCTGCTTCAATTCTTGGGCCCTGTGTGGGGCCAAGTATCTTCTAGGGATATAGTCTCTTTTCTTGTCATTAAGGAAACATAAGCATTTCTGACCCAGGATTTCTAGCAAAATTCTTGATTCCCATTGATGGAGTCAGCTCAAGACACGTGCTCACCCGTGAACCAATTCAATCCCTGTGGCCAGAGAAAGGGATGAGCTGAAATGGCCGATCCCTCAGTACTCTGGGGCTAGGGTTAAGGTCTGTGAACTACAAATGCGGGAAGGTTAGATCCCAATACGAGAATGAGGATTACTGAGACAGATGGGGGATGAGATGGGGAAATGTCCACTGATTCTGGAAAGTGCGGGGAGGTGAGGCTTATTGGAGGGAGGGGCCGGGCAGGGGATGTGAGAAAAGATGACAGCCTCTCCCCCACCCATATTGCACAAGTCACCTCTGTTCCATAGGTCAGCCGCCTGACCTGGTTCACTCGTCACAACCCCATGGTCCAGAAGGAACAGGTGCCACCAGCAATTCCCCTGCCTCTCACCCTCTCTCAGAACGGGACGCCAGAGGCCAGTAACACCACCATCCAGTTTGACATCGTTCAAGAAAACATGTCCAAAACCCACAGCTGTGAGTTGCCTCTCTCCTAAGTTATAATAGGAGCTTTGAGAAGCACTATGTGTTTAAGGGGAATTTTTCTATAAAATCACAAGCCAGAAAAGGGGATAGGCTTGGCATTTTAGCATCCCCTGGCTCCAGTGTCTGGTCCTTCCCATGTTCCAGCCACCAGGAAGGGGTTCTTTAGTAACTTTCAACAGAAACCTCAGATGGGCGGTAACAGCAAACACTTGCTGAGTGCCTGCTAAAGCATGGTTCGTTTCCTCCTCGCGCACCCCCACCCTGCAGGCTGGAATGCTACAAGGATTCTGTAAATCAGTGGTTTCAGAACGGGAGCTTGCAGACATATTTTGGTTTAGCCCACCTACTGTTTTAATGTGAGTGAATGTTGAGAATGTTAAAAAATTGAATGTTAAAAATTGAGAGATTTAACATAAAATTCCAGATTTCCATCTTCTCTTGGAAAATGGGAAGATCCAGCAACACCGGCCCCACGTGTCTACATGGTGAAAGTCACCTGGAGCTGTGAAGCAGCCGCCCCTTAGATCTGGGACATGCCCTTCAGTTAGCCAAGGTCCCCACCAGTCCCTATTGTCTCTATGACACTGAGGCTGTGGTTTTTCATGGCTGTTTTTTTGTTTTGTTTTGTTTTGTTTTTATATATTGTGGAGATGAAACCACATTAACCCAATATGGGAAACTCAAAGATAGATCCAGGAGGCCATGCGTTTCAAGAAAGAGAGAGAGAGAGACTATTTCTTGGTAGAGTTGAAGACTATTTCAACATCTTTAATATGCAGATCTGCTCTGACTCAGATATACTCCCTGCCTGGCCTCGCAGGCAGTCGACTTTGCAGCCTCAGCTCTGAATAAAGACATAGAGCTTTCCACAGAGCACTCATTTCCCCTCAGTCTCCTGGAAGGCAGTGTGACACAGGAGAGAATCAGACAGAGCGGGCGTCTAACCCCATCTCTGCTGCTGCTTGCCAGTGGGGTAGCTTCACTCAAGTTAGTCAGTCTGAGCTTTGATTTCTTCATCCGAAATTCTTCATGTGGAAGTGGTGCCAATTCTGAAAGTACCAGTCTTCTAGAATTAAACAATCTTCCAGAATGAAGGTATTAATGAATACATTCCAGAAAAGGTATCTGAAGTACTTATCCCCGTGAACGGAACACACCTGGTTAGTGTTCCCTTCTCGCTCCTCTAGGAAGACACAGCCCTATGACGTTTCTTTGCTGAGTTCTTTTTAGGTGATGTGACCCCAAAGCGGTCCAAAGTGCTGAAGGCCATCTTGTGGCTCTGCGGAATGGAGAGCAATGCCAAGGAGGAGTCCCCGAGCAAAGTGGAAGCCGCCATAGTGTCCTTGGAAGAAAAGCCCTTGGTGAAGACCCTCCTGGACATCAACCTCATCGTCTGTGTCAGCTGCGCCATCTTCCTCTGGGGCTACTTTGCTTAATGTGGGGTGAACCCAGCGGTCCAAGCTCTCCGTTTATCTTCAGTGCCCCATTTTTTTATGAAAGGAAAAATAATAAAGCTTTTGTTTGTTTACCACGAGGCTTCCAAGGTGTTTATGGGCCATTTTCAACATGATATTAAGCTCTTTTCTTCCTGAAAGGGAATGAAGGTTAAAGGATGGGGAAAGAAGAGATGTGTAAAAGCTTCCTTTTCTCAAAAGACTAGTTATTGGCTGGGCGCAGTAGCTCACCTGTAATCCTAGCACTCTGGGAGGCTGAGGCGGGAGGACTGCTTGAGGTCAGGAATTTGAGACCAGTCTGAGCAAGAGCGAGACCCCATCTCTACAAAAAAAGAAAAATTAGCTTGTGTGGTGGTGCTCACCTGTAGTCCCAGCTGCTTGGGAGGCTGAGGCGGGAGGATCGTTGGAGCCCAGGAGTTTGAGGCTGCAGTGAGCTATGATGATGCCACTGCACTCTATCTTGGACAACAAAGTGACACCCTGTTTCCAGGAAAAAAAAAAAGTAGATGCAGGGTTGATCTATAGTTATTAATAAGAAGCTCTGCCTGTTTCTATAGCTGGTTAATTAGAAATAAAATCTTAAAAATAAAAGACTAGTTATCTATTCTTCCTGTCCATTGTGCCATGCTTTATTATTGATTGCTTAGCTGTCTGCCCAACTGGAGCGAAAGTTCCACGAGGGCAGAGCGTGTCATTCACACTGATGCCTGGCTCAGGGCTTGGTGGATGAAGGAGGGAATGATCTTCAGAACACAAATGCCATCTGGATCCTCATCCACCGGCCACGCTCCTCCCGGCCTGGCTGCCCACCCCTGCCCAGGTACCCAGGACCAAGGAACACCCACTGTTTCTGACCAGTTTAGCCCCTTGAAGTCTGAGTTCATGCAAGTGACCATGAACTGATCCGGTCACCTGTCCTCTGGCCTTTGGGAACTATGTAGCTTCTAAGTCTTCCTTGACCACAGACATCGGTCTGTGGGCCACCCTTGGTGGGTGAGCTCAGCTCTCACATTTGGGAGGGGCCTGCAATCAATCACCAAGTCACGCTGATTCTGCCTCCCTAAGAATGCGTTCACCTGTCCACTTCACTCCCTTCCCACCACCTCAGCCTGAATTTAGGCAGCACCGGATCTTCTCCAAGGGTATCCCTGCTTGTCTTGTCTCTGCTCCAGTATATTTTCCACGCCTAGTCACAGGGATCTAAAATACAAACTGATGGGCACTCCCCTCAGCCCCTGCCCTCGGGACAGCTTCCAACCAACCACAGGTTGCAAGACCCTTCGTGCCCAGCTCCTCCTGGCCTCGCCAGCATCATTCCTTGTCAGTTGTCACCTCCACTTACAGCACGAGAGCGCCCCTTCTGTCTGGACCACCCGCCTGCACCTGCAGCTCTCCCCCTAAAGCGTGGCATCCCCTTGTGCTGGGACACATAGGAAATTATTTATAAAACCCAGGCTTAAATTCTAAAGGTCCTTGTATGAAAACAAAAATGCTGAGTTCCTACCAGGAAGTGACATGCACACGGCTTTTTGGTCATTCAAATATACTTCAGTCAACAGGAGGAGTAAGTTTGGGAGATCTGTTATATAATATGATGACTATAGTTAATAACAATGTATTACATACTTGAAAATTGCTAAGAGTAGATTTTATTATTTCTGTCACTGAGGCTGCAGTGCGGTGGCATGATCATAGCTCACTGTAACCTTGAACTCCTGGGCTCAAGTGATCCTCCTGCCTCAACCCCCTAAGTAACTGGAACTGCAAGTGTGTGCACCACCATGCCTGGCTAATTTTTTTTTTTTTTTGTGGAGATGGGGTCTTGCTATGTTGCTCAGGGTGGTCTTAAACTCCTGTCCTCAAGTAATCCTCCTGCCTTGGCCTCCCCAAAGTGCTGGGATTACAGGTGTGAGCCACTGTGCCAGGCCCTGAGAATAGATTTTAAATATTCTCACCATGAAAAAATGATAAGCAAGGTGATGGATGTTAATTAGCTTGATTTAGCCATTCCACAATGTATACCTATATCAAAACATCATGTTGTATGCCATAAATATATGTAATTTTTGTCAATTAAAAAACCCAAATATAATTTACTCGTGTGCATAAAAATTGAATTCAAATACAAGTAGAAAGAGTGAAAACAGAACCCTGATGTTTTTGTTGTCAATGGTTCTTTTTTGTATCAAATATTCCCCCCATGAGTCATTTGTGATGTTTGGTGTATAAAGAACAGCCCCTAAGGTGGCCCTCAATGGTCCTTACCTCTGGGTGCCATGGCAGCCACCAAATGGTGGCCAGTGAGGAGCCAGGGCCCTCAGACCTTGTCGTCCTGCCACCACAAGGAACTGAATTCTGACAAGCCCTGAGAGAGCCTGGGAGCAGATCCTTCCCCAGTCCAGTCTTCAGATGAGACCCCAGTCCTGGCTGACACCTTGACTACAGTCTTGGGAGACCCTAAGCAGAGGACCCAGCGAGGCTGTGCCTGGACTCCCGACGCACAGGAGCTTTGAGGTAATGAGTGTGTGTTGTTATAAGCTGCTAAGTGTGTGGCCATTTGTCACAGTGCAGTAGACAGCTGACACAATCATACAGTGTGTGAACACGCGCATGATGTGAAGGTGGAGTTGGGTGGGGAGAGTGTGGGAAGAGGAAAGCTGCCTGCACAGCCACATACCTCTGAGTGAGCAGAAGAGCACAGCCTCTTTTGGGGGGTATCAGGTAGGAGTCATCTGGTTGCCAGCAACAGAAACAAACCTGGGCATGTTCGTGCAAAAAAACAATAAAAGCAATTTATTGTGAGGATGCAAGAGCAAGAAATGCAGGATGGCCTCATGGCCGTGAACTGGGAGCTAGAAGAGTGCATGCTCTCCTGCTCATCTCTCCCCTCTGCCTCTCTGCACATCTGCTGACTTCTTCCTCTGCAGGCTGGTTTTCTCTGCAACACAGAATCCACGATGGCAGCAGATGGTCACCCACAGCTCCCAAGCACTGCGCCGCTGGGAAAGACTGGCCCTGACTGCTGGGCAAGGGACCCATGGGCCCACATGAGTGGCACAGGGGACGGGTGAGACTTAAGCAATTGTAAAATTTAAGATATGGGAGAAAATGGGTTTATAGGTGCACGTTTTCAGTGTAATTAGTAAGTGCAGGGAGTACTTTGGGAGCACAGGGAACTTCGAGTCAAGAGGCAAACATGGTTGCCCCTTTCAAGTTAGGCCTATTAAGTCAGTTCGCAGTGGAAGGAGGTCCAATGTCTTCTAAGCAGAGACTGAGACACACCTAGCAGACAGTTTGGTCAATGGGAGGTTCAGGACAGCCAACTCTGGCAGCGCATGTCCCTCTCTGTCCCCAAGAGAAAACCACTTTATCTGGGCCATGAAGAGAGGCTATCAGGAGAGGAGCCATCCAGAGCCCCAGCCTCGCTTTGCTCTGATTCTCCATCCACTCTTCCCAAGTGTTTCAATCCTGGGAAAGAAGTGCCTTGGATAGGGCATGCCAGCACTCAGGCCACTGGAAAAGGGAATTCCCATGACAAGTAACAGCTTCTCACGAATGCTCTAGCCCTGCGGGGCTGAGTTCCTGTGAGTCAGACTCTAGGAGACTAAGTATCTGTAGATGGGAAAGAAAGGAGTGTCTGGACTATAGGACCACAGGTATAGCCCTAACCATGGACACTCGCTGAGGGACAGCAGTCTGGGAGGTCTCTGGGGCACCTGGTGACCTTTTTCACGGCTGTGACCTTGCTCTCTATTCCTTCCAACTCCTACAGTTACAATCAGACCCCCAAGATGTCCCATCCACAATTCCATTTGAGGTGACCACACACACACTCCCACACACACACAACCCACAGTTTGCCTCCAAGAATAATGAAGTTTTCATATAAACCACAGAATATATTTAATTCAAATTAAACATGAAACTAGAATAATGTTCGGTCCTTATCAAGTAGCAATTACATTTTTTTTTTAAAAAAAAGAACAGTACAATTCTTTCTACATTCTGGCAATCCAACAAGGCACGAGTCACATCCAGTTTGATGGGGTGACAGATCCAGCAGTCACCATCGACGCTCATGGCTTTGAGGGGACTGGGGGAGACACAGACCATACTTGGTACAAAATGATTCTGCAGCAAGTCTGGAGGAAAGGAACCTCCCTCCCAGCATCGAAGAATGAAAGTCCAAGTAGCAGGAAGTAGGCGACTTGCATAATTAACGTATTTTATTAAATAGATAGTTAATGCATTGCTTCTTAATCCCAATCGCTGTTGGTGCCGCCTGTATTAACAGCAGTGACAGAAGCTTCCTATACACGTCTCGGCAGCCATACTTTTTCCACTCCAGGTATTTCTTTGTTTTTGATTTCTTGGCAGGATTTCCTTCCCACGTAAAGAAAGCCAACTTCTTTCAGACACAGGTCATTCAGCTTTCGTGTCAGCCTCCACGTTTTCCTTGCGCAGAAGGCCAAGTCCTGCAGAAGGAGGCCTTTCTTTGCCCTCCACTGAAAGCTTTTCACTGTTTGGTCTGCAAAGACGGAGGTTCGCCTGCCCCTGTTCACTCACCAGGTGGACGGGGTGCAGGGCTGGGAGGTGGCTTTCTTCACAGGGCGGTACTTTCCGTATCATTGTCTATATCCAGCAGAATGCGGCCGGGCACGTCTTTGCTCGCAGAGTCTGGGGGCACTTCAGGGAAGATGCTGCGAAGCGGTTCGGAAACCCTAGAATTGGTGTCTGGACAAAAACACGAGGAGACACGGGATCAATGAGCGGTAACGCCTGAGAGGCCACTTGAGGGCGCTCTGAGGAGACAGGCTGGAAAGCTCTGGAGGCAGCCCAGGCACACACACAGTCCCTTGCAAGGGGCCTCGTCAGCTCTTAGAAGTTAAGTGGAGCCTCTGAGATCCCAGAGGGCGGCATGTGGCACAGCCCACCCCCTGGCTCTGAGGCTCCTGTCCGTGAGCCTGGGCAGCCTTCACAGATGTAACCCTGGAAGGATTTGCTTGCTTTGACTGAGGAGAGGAAACCTCATTCTCACCAAGGCTTCTAATGCACTAAATGAAATCTCCTGAGGGCATCTGGGCTGCAGGAATAGACGAGCTGCACTAAGAAGAGCTCTCTCCTCTGAGGCAGATGGGTTTTCCTCCTGTCACTAATGCCATGACTTCAACCTCAGTACTAGCGAAATTTTGGGCGGAATCATTGTTGTGGTGGCTGTCCTGTGTGTTGTAAGATGCTAAATAGCATCCCTAGCCTCCACCCACCACATGCCACCCAGACTTATTCGCCAGTGTGACAACCAGAAATGTCCCCAGACACTGCCAAGTGTCTCATGGGGGGGTCACAATCACTGAGGCAGACCACCTAGTCTCCTACAAATATTAACGTCCCCTTCTCTAATACTTATACCTCTAATTTCCTTTTCATGTCTTACTATGTTGGCTGAAATTCCTTTAGCAAAATGGCAAATACGTGGTCCTCAAGCCATTGTCCCAAACTCCCGTGTTCACAAAAGACACCTTCATCAATCACAGTCTTTGTCCCAGAGACGCCAGTGGGTCTCAGACTTATGCATTCATGAACAAATATTTACTGAGCATCTACAACATGCCAGGCACTGTTCTACCTTCTGAGGGTGAGCAAGACAGGCACAGCTTTAATGAAGCCCATGGTCAAGTAGGAGAGCCAAGCTAATCCACACAGAAGGGTTAGCTTCGCCAGTAGATGTGGGTTCTAGCAAATTAAGAGACCTTGTTAGATATTTTAGGGCTGATGTAAGAGAGAAGAGAGACGATTAGATTTGTTAGGTTAGAGCTAGTCATGGTAGGGAGCAGGGAGGACGGAGGTGGTTATGCTTAATTAAGGCCTGCTTTTCTGTAGTTGTTGTGCAAAGTGACGCCATGTCTGCCCTTGCTGGGAGCTAGTTTTGGTAGTGCTTCGGTGTTACCTGCTCCCCTCTACGCAGGCACAGCTGGCAAATTCTGGTGCACATCTGGGAGGCTCACTGTTTTGAGACTGGCTCCTGCCCCTACGGTTTTGAGCTATGAGATCTATTTGCTCCCTGGGGCATCCCTCTTCTCACACTGACTCCTGGGTTGGCAGATGCATCCCTCAAGGTTTCTTATGCACCACAACTCAGACAAATTTCTAGATTTATGGAGGTGCCCAAGGGGTCAAAGAGTTCAGGTGCTAAATGTTATTTCTCACAATTCAGGTCTCAAGATAACTGTAAAACCACCTGAATTACACCATCCAATGGTGTGGGGACAAAGGTGGCCTATGTGCACAGTATAGAGGACATCTTAAATTTGTCCTTGGCAGAATGAAAGTAAATGAGGGCAGAAGCCACATCTGTCTTGTTCACAGTCTCCAGTGCCTAAAACAGTGACTGGCAAATAGCAGATGCTCAGTAACTTTTGTGGCTGGACACGTGGATGGTTGGATGGATGGATAAATGAAGAGTCATCTAATGAAACCATCTTTCCAATCCTCCCTTCTTACATCCTCAGGCAAAGAAGTAGCCGTGTCTCAAAAGCAACAAGAAAAAAATCGCAAATTCAATCCCTTTCCTATAATCCTAACCCAACAAAACAGACAGTGCTACCAGCAGTGTCTCTTCCCAGCCCAAAGAGTTTACAAGAAATTATGGAACAGACATGACTTGGTGGGGAATGAGGCACAGGCGCTGTACATAGTAAGGAGATTCTACTTATTATTATCTGTATTTACACGCAAGCTAAACCTATTAGCCACCAACCCTTTCCATAGGACAAACTTGCCATCTTTCTCTTCTTCTAGTACATCACATATAAATTATTTCTAGATTTGTACTTTTCTGAATTTCTCTAACTATTTATAGTGAACGCACTAATATACTCAGGGAAAAAATTCGTGGTGGAGCATAAGGGAAATTCCTTCACTTGCCTCCCACCTGCCCCATCTGGTTTCCCCAGCCTCTCTCATCCTCACATGAATCACTGTCTGAAAGAAAACAATGAATCTGTTTACACACAAAAAGGAGTAAGAATTACAGCAATGTGCACTGTGCCAATTTTCAGAAAAAGACTCATCTTCATCACAGTAGCTAACATTATTGAGCATTTACTATGTACCAGAGACTATGCTAAGTGTTCCACGCACATTATCACATCATCTCATTGAGTCACCAGCAAATAATCCCAAGGCAGCATGAGCTCCTCTGTGGAGATAAGAAAGGTAAGAGAGGGAGGCTCTGCTCCTCACCCAAGGGGACACAGCCAGATTGGTGGGACTCTGGTTCTTAACCAGTATAATGTTTTCCCTTTTCCCTAAAGGAGTTTGTATGTCCTTGGGAGAAGGTCCTGAAAGAGAAGACCTTATCTGAAGAGA